CCGTTTGGTGAACGGCAGGTCTGAGCCTCCAAGGGGCCATGCCCCAAGGGTACATCCTGTTTCAGACTTCCGAAGTCTGTTTTCCCATTCCAAGTGCAATCTAGCGTGAGATAGATCCCCCCCTAGCTTGAGGGGACCGAAAATGACCTGTGGTAGCGATTTATGACTATCCAGTTACCAGATTACTAAAATCAACCACACAACAACTACCAAGTAGTAACACAACACTATAGCAACCTCTTTTCAACACCATCATCAGCCTTTTTCGCCACCACCGGTATTAGCGACGACCGGTATGGTACCGCTATAGCGGTACTAGCTAGCTAGCAAGCTACGGCAGTCGGGTAGAGAAATACTGTAGAGAGAAGTTGCATTGCCTGCCAAGGATGATGGACTGCAAGCTTGCTTCCAGTATCCGTTCGGTATCGTTACATGTGGCGTAGCCTTCGGAGGCGTGCGGCCCGGACAGACGATTTTGGTAATCTGTGTGGTTGTGGTAGTCATTTACTACTAGCTACGTCTGTGCGGAGGGTAACACCATGGTTGCTTTGTCTTGTCATACGCCATATGAGTTGAAACTTCCTCTACTACTTGGACTTTTTGTTTCCCTCACCACGAGTTTGATTCATTCATTCTCACACAATGTCGGATTGACCAATACAAAGTAGAACAGTACATCCAAATCGTTCTTGTTGGCAATCAAAGTGTCAACCCAAGTAGCTCGAGTTGTCTCATTATTATTACTGGATGATCCACTGAGTAGAGCGCCCCTCCCCAGCTGATTCAGTTTGATGTAGAGATCCATCTTGGCTTGTTGGCGTGGACTGAAAGCATTATTGTCACCCTCTATTTTGAATTCTGTCAGTGTTGTATTTTGTTCCAGCATGGTCAAGATGGAATCCACAGTGGAGGGACACAATAGACTGAGACGCATCCCCCTTTTGACGATATTTGGATTCAGCATGATGGCACACGATGCCAACGTTGTGTGGCCCCCTAGAGCTTGAAGGAACTGATTCAAGGATAAGTGACGCTTGTTCTGGGGATTCAAAAACATGTGCAGCTTTTCCAATGACCGTCCGTAGCGCACAATATCGCTCAGCAGATTGTCTTCGTCGTCTCCTTTCCACTTGGAGACAAACGTGAGCTGTTTCAATTGACTGGTGCCTTCCCTCATGGCTTGGGCCAAGATCTGCATAATGGGTTCTACCTGTACGCCCAAGGAGAGTGTTTGCAATGATGGTCGACAGCAGAGTTGGACCAACGCGGTCCCAGTGTCGTCAATGGGCCACGGGTTGGCCAGTTGAAACTGCTGTAGACGGGGGAGTTTTGCGAGAGCCACCAAGAGAGATTCCAAGCATCCACGATGGTATTCTTTGCAAGTCAAATCTAAAACGATCCATCCACAGCGCAACTTGACCGTGCGAAGCTGCTGACACCGTTCCAGGGCTTTTGAAAATTCCACAAATTCCTGAGCCGTGCCCGTCAAATTCCAATCGACAACCAGCACACGGAGGATGCTTGCGGCACCACTGAGGCATTCGGTGAGTGTCCGTACAGACTCCAGTGTTGGCGATACTCGATTGTGAGAATCCACATTGCCCCGAAAGAAACATTGCAAATGGGGCAAGCGTCCAATGGCACCGAATAATGACTCGACTAGTAGCGGACCGAAATCTCCTCGTCGTCGTTGTGGCTCCTCCCTAATAATGACGCGCACGGCCCAAATCCAGGGCTCGTACGTTTGGAGTGCGTCAATCAGTGCTAGAATAATGTCATCATTCTCAAACACTACTACTAATAGAAGCGCCAAATCCACTTCCAGAAACACGGGTGAACTCTGGTCTGTCTGAAAGAATGCAACGGCATTTCGGAGGCCATCCAGCGAGTCCACTCTTATATTAATGCTCGGTCCAGTAGGTAGCTCCTCCACGATACCGCTGATGCTTTGTTGATCCCATTGACGGAGGCTCTCCATAATGTTGTTTGTTGCAGCAGTAGTTCCTGGGGTCTGTTCTAGCTCGTGCTTGCAATGCTCAACGTCCAATACGGTGGCATGACAGCAAGATCCCCCCATATTACAGCAAGATAAATAAATACTAAATAGATACGTTCAGGAGCGAGGGGGGCGAGGCTAGGCAAAGCAGTGGCTGCGGTGGTGGGTGGCTGGTGTGGTGGGCATACGGGGAGAGCAATGAGGACGCGAGCAGGGCAAAACAAGGGGGGCAGGGAAGGGGGTGCAAGATCGATCGAGTGCAGAGAGATTTCCGGTTCTTGGTACCTGGTACCAGTACCGTGGCCAGCAAGTCTGTTCGGGCATTCGACCCATTCACCTGTGTGGCTGGAATGAAAGATCCAAGGCACGGAACCATGCAACCATGCATGGGAACAGTCAACCACAATAGAGTATCGCTGGAGCGTTCCTCAATCGTGTATGACGTTAAATCTGAAACGACCCTAATTTAGGGACGGATTTAGGGACGGATTCCCTTTAGGGTCGGGTTTCAAAACCGACCCTAAAAATAGGGACGGTTTCTGAAAAACCGTCCCTAATTTAGGGTCGGATTTCGATTTAGTGTCGGGTTTGAAAACTGTCCCTAAATAGAAACGGGACTGAGTGGTAAATACATTGAAATCCGACCCTAATTTAGGGTCGGGTTTCAAACCCGACCCTAAAAATAGGGACGGTTTCTGAAAAACCGTCCCTAATTTAGGGTCGGATTTTGATTTTGGGTCGGGTTTCGAACCCGACCCTATTCTCCAATAGAATTAGGGACGGGTTTCAAAGATTTAGGGTCGGATTTAGGGTCGGTTTCTCCATCACCCACGATTGAGGGACGCTCCTGTAGATCTGTCATGCGTCTGTTACTTTTGCTCCTTTCCAACTGATATTGGTCATCTAGCTAGCTAGTATTTGTAGCAGGAACAAGCGCACTTGGAAGGTAAACGTGATGAAAATACAGCCATTTTTCAGTATCCAGAGAGGCTCCAGAACGGTAGTCTAGGTACAGTACTAGCTAGCATTACAGAATGGCACAGCAGCCAACGTTTCTTTTTGAATTCCAAGGAGGGATTGATGTTTCTAGTACCGGTAGATAGCTAGACTAGTTGGGAGATGATTGTCATGTACATATGTCGTCTTATTGGAATCACATATATATTTGCAGCATATACGGTACCCTCCTCCGATCTTGCATGGAACCGTACAGTATTAGTTAGTAGTACTGTATCTCAATTATTTAATTAATAATCAATTCTGTTGATTGGCCGTCTTTTTCTTTTGTTTGGCATTGAATGAGTCTTTTTCATCCGAGGACATGACTTGAAAATTGTTTTTATTCTCCACGTATTGCCAGGCGCCCTATATAGATAGAAGTGGAGGAATAAATGAATGAATGAATGATATCTGTCATACAGTAGGTAGCAAAGAGAAGGGAATGAAATATAGTCTTTCTTTTGACTTACAAAAAGACCCAGAGCCACGATCCAAGCAGCACCTCGACTTTTCTGATAACGTAGGGACAATGAAAGGGACAATTGATGAAAAATGAAAGTGGAAGAATGAGGAACGAAAGAAAAAAACAATCAAATTTCTCACACCAACCACACAGTTAGGTTGTTTTAAAATAAAATACAACAACAAAGAATGTATAGAAACGATACGTACATTGCTGAGCCCGGCCGAGAATAATTCGTTCGGTCTCATTGTTATATACTATTGTCTCTCGCTACTATCTATCTCTGGTCGTCTCTCTGAAGCTCTCAATGTGGATGGATGGATCGAAAGAAAGAGGTCGGTGCGTGGTTTCGTGGTGGAGACGAAAGCAAAACAACGCTAACTCTACCGTAGATCCAACAAAAAGATCCTGTTGGATCCAACCGTTGACACCACCCCAGCCCAACGGCGAAGTGAGAGCCAAAATCTTCATGGCATTGCTGTTTTGCCGTTTCATTCTATTACAATTATTCCATGACAAAGATGGTGATTGAGAGGCACCAGCAAGGTTCTACATGCAGTAGCCATGGCAGCTCCACAAGGAGAAGAAGAAGAAAGAGGAGGACGGCTGTTCCTTATTGGTTGACAGTTGTATCATTGCTACCGGTACTATTAGGTCAAGCCATGGTAGTGCACCACTCAGCATGGCCATGGTTGGGATGTGATGCCTTTTACATGCGCCAGTATCATCCGGTTGTGCCACTGCATGTACAAAGACGTTTCTGGAGTATGACTTTGAGAAGTCATGCCGATGACGATGATCCCATCAATACTACATCTACAGGGACATCTAGTAGTAATAGCTTGGAGGAGGACCTGAAAGATCTCCAACAAGACCTTCTCCATGTATTTTCCTCGGACAACGTCCATCAAGACATTTTGGAATCGGCCGACTGTTTGATTCAATCCTGTTGGAAAGACGTCGAGACCACCATGCAGCAGTTTCACGCTGTCGTGCAAAAGCAGGCTCTCATTCAACAAGACATGACTACCACTACAACGTCTACCAACAGTAGTAGTAATCGACAAACCCGCAAGATGCTGCAACAACGACGCCAGCAACGGAGTCAACTACGCCAATTGCAATCCCAAGCACAAGATTTGTCCGTCGATATCATCATGGCATTTGCAAAGTTAGAAGCGGCCATGACTCGATTTGCTGCCTTTTCTATTGATGACACTGCTACTAGTAGTACTATTATTGCCCAACAACACTATGCAAGTCGCAAACAGACTCTGCTGGTAGCAACACGACAACGCATCGATCGATGGCTCTTTCCGCTCGAAAAACAACTTCTGTTTTTAAATACATGCAAAAATCCACCATCCTCCTCCACAACTACAACTACCACTACCACGACGCAAACCAATGCCTTGGAAAATGTCGTGCATTTTGGAAAAGCACTTTCTCAAAAATTGGCACAAGAGGAATTTGGAACGACAACAACAACAACAACAACAACAACACCACCCTCCTGGAGCGTTGACGGTGATTCCGTCTTGGCATCTATTCTACAAGATGAAAAAGAAGAAACAATACAAGAACGATTGGCCCGATCCATCACGGTCGCCGACCCACAAACGGCTGCCAAGGTGGCACAACGATATCAAGAAAAACTGCAACAGAAGAAAGCACAGTCATCATCCTCCACCAAACAAGAGCCAGTCTCTAATGACGCCACTGTGCCCGAGCAAGGAGAGACCACCGATAGTGACGCCACTCTGCCTTCTTTGGAGCAAGAAGATTCAGAAACCATCAATTATACGACAATGATAACCACCACCGCTACTAGTACTTCTAAGCAGCAAACGAAGGAAACAGTGGCACCAAGCGATCCCGTAACAACTACGTCGAACCAGGCAACGGATGTCAAGAAGAAGAAGAGACACAAGCCACAAGATACGGACAAGAAGAAACAGACCAAGTCTTCCTCCTCCATTTGGTCCAAACTGGGTATTCCGTCCAGACGACCCGTCGAAACGACACCAAAAGCAGCGTACGATTCCACGCTTCAGCAGCCAATACAATTGGGGTACAATGGTGATGGTGACGCCTCGTCGTTGACAAGCAACAGCTTGAAACAGATCAAGAAACAGCCCATTGTCTACTGGAGCAGCCTCATTCAAAATCTACATACCGTGCCAACCATTGTGGTTCCAAAAACGCCCAACAATGCAACCAGCAGTAGCAGTGCTTCGACGACTACAGATAGTTCAATACAGGAGGATCCACCGCCACGTAATGGCAACGACAACGAGGAACCTTCGACTAGCACAATGGAGGATCAACAGCCAAGTATTGACAACGACACGCAAGAGCCTCTTGTCGAGGAAACTTTGACCAGCACAATGGAGGACACACCGCCGCCAAGTATTGACAACGACACGCAAGAGCCTCTTGTCGAGGAATCACCAACCCAACGACAGGAATGAATGAATCAATCCAGGACATTCTCTCGACTGACAGGACACTCCAAAGAACACAAACCAAAAAAACCTTTGAAGGCGCAACGTGATGCTTAGTATTTTTAAATCTCTTATCAGGGCCTTGACGACGACATGACAACAAGCATCTTTTGCGCCCGCCGCCCCCCTTCGGCGCCGCCTCAATGTCCGTCCTCTCTCGCTCCACGAAACAAGGCAAACGCATCTTCCAGCTCCGCCCGTTCGGCCTCGACACGGGCGTGCCGTTCTCGCTCCGCCTCTTCCCTTTCCCTTGCCATCTGCTCTCTTCGATCCCAAAACCCATCAATACGAGCGTTGACCAGAGCGGTTCGACGCGCCAATTCCCTTGCTTCTTGCTCGATTCTTGCCGCCCTGCGCTCCTTTTCTTCTTGGATCCTTTGTGCCCTGTCGGGATCATGATACCTCTTTCGAGCGCTGTGGCCAACGGCCTCTTTCAAAATCTCAACCAAGCGAGCAGAAGGCGGCACAGACCCACCCAGCCGTCGAAAGAATTGAGGCCATGTGGTGACTGCCAGGATCTCCTTGGCGGTTCGTTGCAAGTCCCTCTTTTGTTCCGGTGTGGGCTTTCCCATTTGCCTGTCATACTGATCCAAAACATCCAGGGGGCCCTTTGCTCCAGCGGGCCTACCAATCCGCGACATGAAATAGGTTTGGAACATGAGGAGACGGAGGCTCGTCTTTGCCCCGTCAAAAGTACAAAGCAATCGGTCGGCAGGTTTGAGGGACTCTTTCGCCAGTAGGGGGTATTCCTGCAAGATCCAACGAACGTTCCGATCAAAGGCTTCCATCACGAGGGGTCTTCGAAGGGAGTTCCATCCTGTTTTGCTGAGAGTAAGGCACACAAGAAGGACACCCAGATTCGGCACTTGGCGCTTGTGGCGGTAGTAGTTGGCGGAGATGAAACGCTGAACTTGTTGTTCCGCGTACTCAATCAGCATTGGGTACCTCTTGGCAAAGAACAGCAGCATGTGATGAAACGCGCAATATCCTTCCAAGGCTTTTTCGGAGGCAAAACGGCTGACCCCGGAGCCTTGTGCAGAATTCATCAGTTCCACAACCATGGAATTCATCAAGGTGGCCAAAAGTTGGAACGCCATGAGTGGATGGAAATTTTGGTGGCTTTCCTGTGTTTGTGCTGGCTGTTCTCGCCGTTGAGGTCCCCTCGGTCCCCTCGGTCCCCTCGATCGATGCCCACGACGCGGAGCGTCTTCCACCAGAGAAGAAAGGTCGCAGTAAGGCATGATGGAGTGGATTGTTCGTTCCATCCTCTCTGCAGCCCTGGCGCCGTGTGCCGAGTTCAATACAAGAGGCAAGAAGTAGTCAAAAGCCTCATTCGCCCCACCCCACACACCCGTCCGGACAAGCTCCTGGTCAAAGGCGTGCTCGGACAGTATGTCCAGAGGCGACGATGCCATTTTCAAATTCTTGCCATCGGGATAGTGCTTCGCTTTCAAGCCAATGCCAAGAATTGCATCATGGTCATCAACGGTAGCCTTGGTGTGGAAGCACATGATCTGGGTTCGTTCGAACAGATTATACGACAGCACCACTTCGTTCCAATGCGCGCACACTTGTTTGGCCCGGATTAATCCTTGTGGGTCCAGATACGAGAAGATCTTGGTGTACAAGTCGGATGGGAGTGGAGGAGGAGGCGTTGTGGCTGGCGCCACGGCGGTTCTCTGTCCTCCTCGAAAGGCAGATTTCGTGGGCTCCGGCAGCGGCGGCCATGGGTTGTCGTGAGTGTGTTTTACCTTCGATCCATCGTGGGTGGTAATGTTGTTGTACTCGAACTCGCGTGCTTTGCCGATGCACCGCTTCACTGCGCTGAATTCCGTGATGCTCTTTGCGGTACCTCCGTAGTCCTGGTCAATATTGTCGGCGAAAAGAAAGGATTGGAGCTGCAGGAGAAGGGAGAGAACAGAGTACGCCGAAGTCCATCCGGTGTAGGGAGTGGAAGTGTAGTACTTCTGAATCATATCAAGACACAACGCATATCCTGAGGCTCTCCAGTTCCAGACGTTTGGATGCGACAGCCAGGAGCAGAGCTCAACATCGGGTGGTTCGTGTGGGTATTTTGGCGGGAACCGCAGCACCAAATGGAAGACGGTTCCGGTGTAGGGCCCATAGTCGGGCCTCAGATTGCAGTGCCACTCGAAAAGGTTGGATGTGGGTAGAGCCGAGACGGTCGCGAGGGACTGCTTTTCTAGCTCGATTTCCTTCCAGTCCTTGTACAGCCTTCTTATGGCGAATTTCTTGGCCTCTGCAGAAGAGCTCATGGAGTCTGATCGAGGTCTCAAAGGGTCGGCGTTGGTTTGGAGCTTTGGCTTGATTTAAATTTGTGAGGGACAAAGAGGAAGTGCAGAGGTCGGGATTGAAGATCTTGAGGCGGGTCTGAGAAGCAAGTTTGGACTAGTCGTGCGTGGACAGGTCTGCCTGGCATCGACCGAATGGCTGAAACAACTTCGTTCGAGGGCCAGAGAAAAAGATCTTGCCCCGCCAGCATTCTTGCCCTCTTATCCCGTGCTTATAGACTGGATCCTGTTTCATGTTGAGTTATGTTGACCGTGTAGCCGTACGATTGAGGAGCTTATCAGCTGGTGACGCAGATAGCACATCGGTTCAAGAGGGTCGCATCAGATCGAATGGAGAGGCAACCTGCCCTGTCGCAATGGGGTTTGGCAATCATGAGAGAATAGATACTAGCTAGCTAGTAGTAATAATCTCGGTTTGTCGAGGGGGCTCTGAGAGGAGCAGGGTGGGAATGACCCGGAATGGATGAACTCCAGCTTTGCACCTTGATTGTTATGTCGTTATGTCTTGGTTTGTCCTTTTATTCACCACGAAAGGGTGCCATTAAATTCTGGGCGGCTTCCGCTTCAATTGTCCGATAAACCTTGTTTGCAACTACTCACCAATTTTATTAAATAATTCAGAGCTCAATAATTTACTACTCAAGTACTAGTACTCAAGCTCTACTCAGTACCGGTACTTTAAAAAATAAATAAATAATGCGGTGTTTCTTCAATGGGGGTGTCATGATTTCTTGGGAACTGGTTGCAGCCTGTACTGAGTATTATTTGATTGGTTGCAGGTACTGGTACCGGTATTATTTACCACTGTGCAGCTGTACTTTACTCCGAGTACAGAAGAGACGGCTTATTTACCACCTTACTCATGCCAAACAGCTAGACTAGTCTAGCCCAGTCTGCTACCGGTAGTCCTCGAGCCTTGAGCTACTTAAAAATTGCTATTAAAATACATGTAGGTAGCGTACAGTCAACGCTCGCTTATATTTATAATCTTGTATTTATTCGCTCTATAATATTTAAGAATACTCCAGTTCCCACATTTTTAACTCTAACCCTATTTTAGTACTAGAGCACGTACAATTCTACGGGAATAGTTAGGGTTAGGGATAAAATCAATATTTATTCTCGCTGTTATATTTACTGAATTCCTGAATCCCCCCCAGTATATATATCTGAATGTTGACTGTAGTTGAGCTTCTTATTATCGCGGTTATGATTTTTGACTAGCGGTACTCAACCTGGTACCGAACGTAGAGCAAGAAGCCTTATTAATACATGTAGTGTCAAAGATTTCTTTCAAGTGTTTCTTGATTTGGCAATTGGCAACCCTTTCGTAGACCACTCTTCTTGTCGTTCACACCATGCCAGCTCCCGGTAGCAGTAGCATGTCGTTTGATTCTTCTGTGTGCGAACCCTTTCAAATTGTGCGAACCGTTGTAAATGGCGATTGAATGATTGAATCATTCGATTCGAACCATTCTTTTTATGCTCTTCTTCTCAAAACGGGGGATAGTAGGTGGATTGTCTACGGAAGCCAGCCAGGGCCAGGCTTCTTGCTTCTTGGCATAATCGCACAATCTAGCCGAAGACCCAGGAGAGCTGCAGCCGGACTCTCAGGAGGCTACATGATGCAGTCAAAAACGGAGAGAACTGAGCCTCCCGCAACCTTCAAGACTGGTAAGGTTGGGCATTGGGCAAGGATGGAACCTTCTGTAGGAGGAGGCCAAATGGATGATGAGGAAGAGTTGATGGATATCGTGGCTGCCAGAAGTCGAGGGGGAAGTGGAGAGGTTGGGCTCAGAGAGCTGGAAATGTTTGAACTGGAAATAATGCAACAGAGAGAATACGAGCAATCAAAGCAAGAGGAAATCCATCCCAGTACACCAGGCAACACCTTCGTGGGAGACGAAGTCACCGAAGAACTAAAGGAAGATGATGTCTCTACGTCGAAGGTAGTACAAGATCAAATGTTTATAACGAATCATCCTCAAGTTACCAGCAAAACTCCGTCAGCAGAAGCTGGTCCAGAGGAAGTGCAACCAAGGTTGACTTGTGTACAAAATCAGCCAGTCATGGCTACCGCGCATCCAGGAGCCTATGCAGTGGCCCCTGGGAACACAAGCAATGAAAGTACGGCAGATGACCAAGCCACCACTCCAAGGGAAGGTATGGATGGATTGGTGGTGGCGAACCCGGTTGAAGAAAATGAAGAACCTACACAGATTGCTAGACCCGGCCATTTGCATGGAAACACCGGATCAACCTCAATGACTCTCATGATCCTTGTGCTCATTGGTAGCCTTCTCTTTGTTGGGGCGATTGTTGGTTCCATCTGTGGCGCTGGTCTCTGCAGCAACCAAGAAGGTGATGTGGAGACTCAGGCTCCCACTTCGATTCGATATTCTGTTTTGGAGGATATTAAAAACAGAATAGAAGAGGCTTTTGGGCCTGACTATTTTCCCGAAAACGATGAGCCAGAACCCACCCAGCCAAAGTTCAAGGCTCTTGATTGGATTGTGTTTGACGATCCTCTGCAGCTCAACCCACATGCCAGCAATCTTCTACAGAGGTTCATCTTGTCGTTGACTTACTTTCAAACATCCCGGGAAAGTGATTGGCTGGATTGTGGGCCATCTACAACTGCAAACGATGAAACATGCTGGATTCGAATGCGGGGTTTTGAATCAGTGGCAAGTAGGTGGCTCACGGGTGTTCATGAATGTCAATGGGCAGGAATTTATTGTGACGGAGAGAAGGACATTGCTCAGTTGCAGCTTTGTGAGTTTTCTTATCTTTTATTGACCACAACAAGAACCAAAGCACATGCACTCATTCTTTGCCTGTTTTGATTCCAGACCAAAATGGATTGAACGGCCCTCTGCCCACAGAACTTGCCAGTCTTACAGCGCTGGAATCAATGCACCTGAAAGGGAACCAACTAACAGGAAGTATTCCATTGGAATTGTTTGGAACCAAGCTCTCCTCATTATCCTTGGCAAACAATTCACTAACAGGGACAGTGCCCACAGAAGTTGGACTCTTTGATGGGACCGTGCTTCAATTTGGTTCAAACAGCTTGTCTGGTTCCATTCCCACAGAGCTCTTTCAGACTGGCAAAAGAATCACCACTTTTCGTTTTAATGACAATATGGTATGACAACCGTTCCCCGGAACAGAACCTCAGTGATCTTCAACTTTGGGTCAAGACCCTAAACTGCGATTGACAGCTCACCCTTTCCCTCCATTGTAGCTTACAGGAACTCTGCCCACTGAAATTGCAGCATTGCATGGGCTGAATCAACTCATCGTCTATCTGCAAGGTAACCCTTTACGTGGAACCATCCGATCCGAAATAGGACTTCTGCAAGGCTCTCTCAAAGAACTTGATATCAGCTGGACCCATATGGATGGCTCCCTACCAGAGGAACTCTTTACAAAGTGTACCAACTTAATTTCACTTCGGGTCTCCAACTGTGGCTTGACTGGCACCATAAGCACTGGACTGCAGCTTTTGACAAATATACAAACCTTTGATGTTTCCAACAACAAGTTCCACGGCACCATCCCAAAACAGCTTTCTGATCTGACAGAATTACGTCAGTTTATTGTGAATGGGAATGGCCTTTCTGGTTCCATGCCATCAGCTGTCTGTGCTTTGGCTGACCCTGGAAAGGAATACTTTGAAGTGACAGCTGACTGTCTCCCAAGTGAAGGAACAGGCAATCCCATGGTAGAGTGCTCTTGTTGCACTCTGTGTTGTGATGGTGATGCAGAAGACTACTGCCTTCCGGTGTAGAGACCACATTTGCCACGTACGTTTGTTCGAAGACTGCAACCAACAGCACTTCTACTTTTTTCTGTGTTCATCCTTTTTTAGCCAACGGGTTCCACAGTATGGTATGCACGGGTCGGCGGTACTTCTGTACCTGGAAGGATTCAGCGCAACTCCAATCTGTGGCTATAGCTAGTAGAAATTCGCGGACCGCACGTCCTTGCTTTTTAGTGCAATTTCGACACTCAAAGACCTACCGTACCTAGCTAGCTATCCTGTCACCTCCTTCACGTTTTTCTTGAGTCCGTATGATTGAATCTACCGTGCAAGCAGCAGGTTCGTTATCGTCTAGCTAGTCAAGCAGTAGCCCTGGAGGTGCCGCCGACTAGCAAATAACGCATGCAACACAGTCCAACTGCTCAGCTGACGACCTAGCTAGCTAGTCAGCCATGTATCAATCCGATGTTCGTGGCTGAGCCAGGAAATTAGCCGGAGGTACATTTACCTACCGGTACCAAAGTGCCAAGTGAATATGCAACTCTGCCAGCTTTTGCATTATCCCAAACGCGACCTGGATGAGATTGAAGATCGAAGATTGCAACCCTGCAACCCCTTTTAGGTTTGGAGACGACAAGCTTGACCATCATGAGAGAAAAAGATACTAAACGTATAAGTAGAGGATATGGTCGACAATGGCTGAAGATGGTCTGACCGAAGGCAAAGCTTTTGGCGGCGATGTTAATTTGGAGCAAGTTGACACCACTCCACCCGATTCCACCATCAACGACACGGCAGATGGGGACATCACGCAGGACTCACAGCCGAATGGTGTTGGCAGCGGTAGCAATTGTCAGCATCAACAAGAACAACAACTTCAACGAAAGCCAAGAGCAGGTACATTGCAATTTCTCGCCCCCGAGAAAGAGAAGGAGAAATTAAAGGGCAAATCTCACAAGGAATCAGCTCTGAGGAGAAATCAACCGCAAACGGGGCCACGAAATGGCACTTTGCGCTTTCTAAAACCCAGTGATGTTGAGAAGGAAAAGGAAAAGATTGCACAAGCGAAACCACAACTCTCACAAGCCAAGACAGCGCCAGAGGCGAATAACGATGTTGGTGAGGTAGGCCACGATACTACTCCTGCCAGTGAGTGTTGCAGCTTCCCAAATAATGGAAAGCAACAGATTCTACTTTCTGATGGGGCACAAGAACCAGGGGCATACTCCGAAGCTCCTGGTATGACCGTACAAAGGACCAATCGGCCCCGCTTTTCTCTACTAGGGGTTGCGGCTCCAGCAGAACCCATGGATGACCTCAGCAGCAGCGATGCTAGTCAGAGGTCCATTGTTCTGGAAGGAGAAAATTGTGAAGATCACCAACCGGATGACAACCCAGGATCTTTGATCTACGGCAATGCCAACAGTCAAACGATGCCTCGGGGACGCAGCAATCATGAATACAATGCTGGGGCCACTACTGTCACCGATAGCAGCAACGGCAATGAGAATGACTTGGCTGTGGCTGAGTTGGTGGAAGCGGATGATGCGTCAAAAGAGCTTCCGCAGGCTTCAGAATTTGACGTGGGCGAATCAATGCGCCGGAAGGAAGAATCAATGAAACGATTCAAAACCAATATGCTGCTGTTGACAGTCTTCTTCACCACTGTTGTTCTGGTTCTGGTTACAGTTTTGGTGGCCACAAAGGAGACAGAGGAACCAGAATCACTGCCTCCCGTGGAATCACCCAATAGCGTATCTTCTCAACCATCAGATGTGAAAGATTCTTTGCTGGCATTTTTCCCTGAGGATACTGCGGAGGCCATACAAAGGGACCCTCTGTCTCCCCAATCTCTAGCTTTCCAATGGCTGCTAGATGATCAAGATTCTCTGTCAAATGGTCCCGCAAGACAAAGATTTGCATTGGTTGTCCTCTATCATGCCACCAATGGAGATTCATGGGATAACAGAACGCACTGGCTCAACCACAGCATACATGAGTGTGACTGGTTTTCCAAGCCAAGTTTGGCATTGAAGGATTCAGCGTTGCTTTTGTATCCTGGGTTTCTCACAGAGTTTGAATCGTCAGCTTCAACGTGCAACAGCGATGGTCTTTATCAACATTTGTGGCTTGACCAGAACAATCTGGTGGGAAGTTTACCGGATGAACTCTACATGCTAACAACACTTCGGTCTCTCTCTACTGGATTGAATAGGCTGCATGGAACCATTGCAACTCTTGTTGGCAAGCTAACAAAGCTACAGCATTTGGCCATTTACAATCAGCAAGAATCAGGTGCAATACCCTCTGAGCTGGGCCTCTTGACCAGGCTCAGAGGCCTTGGCCTGGGCAAAAATGACCATACAGGGATGGTGCCAACAGAAGTGTGGCGGCTGACCAATTTGGAGACTTTTGTTGCAACGGAAAACCCTGGTCTGAAAGGCACCATCTCCACTGAGATTGGTCACTTTTCCAAGCTTCGGTGGCTTTTGATTGGTGATATGGATCTTACAGGTAAGCATAATAGACTTGCATTTGCCTTTTGTGACAAGATCACTCAAGTCCAGTTGTATATCACTTAGGCACCATTCCGACTGAGGTTGGTAGGCTCACTCTGCTGGAATGGCTTGTAATGAACGGGAATAATTTGACCGGCTCAATACCGTCTGAATTTGGAGCCCTTCAGGATGCACTGAACATGGACTTGTCTCAAAATTTGCTTGAGGGGAATCTGCCCAGCGAGTTGGGACTCCTGACATCGCTGACGCTTTTGATGGCTAGTGGAAATAAAATATCTGGCTCCATTCCAAGTGAATATGGCCTTCTCTTGTCCTTGACTCTGGCTCTCGGTTTCCAAGCTATCTGGTACAATACCCGTGCAGCTAGCCAACCTGGCTTCTCTGCAGGGGTTACATCTACAGCAGAACCGGCTCTCCAGCCATGTTCCTAGTGAATTTGGCAAGCTCGCATCTTTAGGTCTGTTGAACCTTGCCAACAATTCTCTGTCTGGGTCTGTGCCTCAAGAACTGGAAGCTCTCCAACCAATGCTTTTTGCTTTGAACTTGGAGGGAAATCCACTCTTGTCAGGGGTATTTCCAGAGTCCCTCTGTAACATTGATGGCACGTGTATTCAAACACCATTGCTACCATGTGAAGGAAACTATGGAGTCCATTTTGACTGTAGTAGCTTGATATGTGGTTGCGAATGTCCCTGCGAATGAGTTCATAGGTCCGTAGAATAACTTCCCTACTTTAGACCCCCTCCCTCATCATCAGTAAATCGGATTCTCTAAGTAGAGAGAGCTGACCAGACAAGTTTCTAGGCAAGCGCAGAGGGCGGGCGGGGGCGAATGTTGAAAACTCTGGGAGGAAACGATTTGCGGCCGGCACATGGGGTTATGATACGGTGAATCTACCAGTACACGCGCATCTAAAACCTGCCTGCACGCACAACCGGATCATAAAGGTGCCATGACCGCCGAAGAGGCATCCATGGAAGGTCCTGATCTTCTTCGGCAGGCTTCGCTGCAAAACAACAGGCTTGGGCGAAGCAGAGGGGAGGGATGTGGAAGCAAACTGACAAGGAGTGCGTACAAGTTATTTCATTGGCACTCGGCGAGCCACCGCCCAAAGACCCCAAAAGCTTCGTTCGTGCTATCGAAGTGCTCGTGCATCGTCGAGTCCGTACCAATAATCTCCTTGAACAAGGCGTCAAACGTGAACGGCACATCCTGAAAACTGCTGCTCAGCTGGTTGGCCGACCCTGCCATTATTGTCCTATTGGACCTTGAAGGTGTCAAAACTCGGTATTGGGTACGGGTACTCACTCGAGCATCGTTTTGGGGAATAGTACAGCTACCGCTACTGTAAGCTACTCAGTACAGGACAGTAAAGTCAATTCCTCCGGGACCTCTGTGGAAACGTCATTCGTGGCAACATACTTAGGAGACGATACACCGAGGAATAGGAGACGATCGAAATGATTTAAGAGACGAAAGCAATCGTCTCCTATATTTAGGAGACGATTCAGTAGGAGACATTACAATTAAGAGACGATCGTTTCGAAATAGGAGACGATCCGAAAGATTTAGGAGACGATACCATACAGTTTACATGGTGCACTTAGGAGACGATCCGTTGAGAATAGGAGATGATCCGTTGAAAATAGGAGACGATTTAAGAGGAGACGAAAGATTTAAGAGACGATCCGTTTCGTCTCCTATTTTTAGGAGACAAAATCCGTTAAATAGGAGACGATCAAAAGGATTTAGGAGACGAAAAGTAGCACGACTCGAGTTTCCACAGAGGTCCTGTACCTGGTCCGACTGTACTATGTCATAGGACCCATCTCTGACTGACCGTCACTCAGCTCTAACTCTCTAGGAGCTTGATTTTAAGTGTCACTTAAAGCGTTTTTCCCTTCAACTCAGACTTGGCGCCCCTGAGCCCAAAAACGAATCTTTTATAAATGAGCTGCTCTTTGCGCGATGGAAACCTTTTCTCCGTTTTCGCTACTTACTACTAGCTAGTGCGCTAGTGCTCGATTGGCTACTATTAGTACTGTACCGGTACAGTAAAGGTATAACCCCTCTAACAAACCAGGAATACAACCGTGTACATGGAGTACCAGGCTCTACGTGATACCCTGTCTTTCCTTATGTTTGCGGTGTTTTGACCATTCTCCACTCACTGGAACATTCGAACGCCCTGCAGGCTCACTGGAACCTCACTGGTATGAACGAAGGCTTTCGCAAACACACTGACGCATGCGATCGATCGATCACTGAACAGATCTGATGATGTCACTGACCCAACAAGAAGAAGACAATCCAAGCAAAAGATCGCAAGTCGCTGGAAACACCGTGATCCGCAGTGGCAGAGTGGCAAAGACGAAAAAAACGCAAAGTCGCTGGGAACGGCAAAGAGGAAATCCAGCAGATCACAAACAAGATAACAAAACACAACAAGAAAACCAGTAACCACAAAAATTCTTAAAACTAAAATGAAACATATAAAATTTGTTTTTGCTATGCCTACAGCAGGATCGCGCTGTAGGCTGGGTACCACCAAGGCAGTTCAACGCAAGCGTGGGTGGATGCCGGTGGGCTGATTCTTCTTGTCTTGCTTGAACTTGTTGATGATCTGGGTGACCGTAAGCCACCCGTAGGTGGCATAGATACGGTCGACCGCAGCCCTCAATCGAAGCCCTTCGCCATCAACCGAATCACACAGTCCCACACATGCTTGCGGCGGCAGAACTTGTCCTTGACGCGGCCGCGCTCACGAGCAGTGAACTCGCATGCCGCCTTGTTCCCGTTCAGGCCCTTGATCCACTCGTCCACAGCTCGTAGAGGTTAAAGGCTTCTTCGAAAGCTGGGCTGGCAGGGTAGCGGGTGTCGGGGCCCTTGCGGCAGGAGTTTGAGCCAAAGCCCAGGACCTCGGTGTGGTGGTGGTGGGGGAAGTCCTCCGCCGCCGCAGCACACCACCCGCCAGCTCCCACCACCGACGCCAGCTCACCGGGCGCACCAGGAAGAGGAAGCCTGGAGCACCGTTGCCACCACCCCTCGCGATCAACTGGAAGTGGTTGATCCTCCCAATATTCTTGTTCACGATGGCAATGTTCGTAGAGACATAGCCCCTCAAGGAGCTGATGTCTGTGCAAGCATCTGCTGGGCCCCCTCGATCGCCTGCTGAGCCTATGTTGGAGAGCAAGCAATTGGTTGAGCTGTTCCATGTTGACACACCAGGAGCACCTCCAACAAGGGCTCAGCACCAGCTGACTGGGCGGTGGGAGCAAACCAGTAATGTGCAATGCATTGCTACCTTGTATATTGTCAGAGGGATCTTGCCACTGGGTTGTAGTCGGCCCCGGATCCTCATCCAAAGTGGTTCAAGCTGGGCATACTCCGTCTGGATGCGGTTGCGAATCTCAGCCGTCATCATATGTCCAAGCCAGGTTCCATCGCAGCCCAAAGCAAGGCTGGACCAAGCACCATGGCGATGTTGTTGCTTGGGTCATCAGCGAAGAAGTCACAGATCTTCGGACAGACATGCTCACCGATGAACCCATGGTCAACACGCTGTCAGCCTTGATGCTGTACTACGGGACCACCAACAGCGAGCGTTCCAGCAACTTGGCGTCGGTGGGAAGCTGCTCCAGGTTGATGTAAACATGGACGATGTGTCCATTCTTCTCTCCCTTCCAGCGACCCAGTCTCATTCTCGGCTGGGTAATCCCACACTCAGCAGCGTAGGTGGAGGCAACTTGCGCACACTGTGGTACCAAGCTTCCCTGGACTTGAGCGCAAGCTCCACGAACTCAGGTCCTTCCAAGCCTTCTTCAAAGCCCGTTGGTACCAGCGTTGACTCGTCGGCTCCTCTCATCGTCGTCTCTCAGCTCTTCTCGTTGCCAGGCTCGATGGCGGCAAGGAACGCTTCTTCTCGTCAACACGGTAAGGCCAAACAGAACTTGGGATCACCGTGTCCCCTCTCAACGGTCTCGATCCAAATAGCAAGGCAATCAGGACACAAAAGTCAGGGTCAGCGGAACCCAGCATGATTTGGTTCGGGCAAGCACGCTCCTCTGGACATTCTTGCTCCAGGATACCTTGGTTTCAAGAGCGAAGTTTGGAAACTTCGAGTGGCTGCGCAGATCCAAAGTCTCCATGTTGGTCAAATCATCAGTGCGGCCAATCAAGTGAAACTGAACCTTCAACATGGTTGGGATCTTGATCGTCGTGTCAATGTTCGCTCCTCCATCGCGTTCCACAATGCGAATGGTCTTGCGGAATTCCCGGATCTTCAAATCCCTCTTGACATTGGATTTCCTGCCCTGCTTCCTGACCTCAGCCTTCTTCACAGCTTTGATCACTTCGTTGACACACCTGGATCGAGTGGGATTCCCAACATTGGGACCAACAGCCCATGATGCGTGGCGGTTCGGATGGAAGTGGCTGATGGCCTTCTTGTATTGTTCAAGAGTGGTAGATCTCTGTGGGTGGGGCGGTCATTGGGCCCTGGGTTCTTTCCATAGGCAAGGAAGTTGAGGAACTGGGCGACATCAGTAGGGGTAATTTCTAGGAGCTGGTCCTGAAGAAAAATGAAGAAGAGCGACCATGGTGTTAGTGAGCGGCAGAAATCGTGGAGCGACCAAAATGACAGACTTGGCGAAGGAAGGAACAAACGTACCTGTGTAAAGCTCCTCTTGTTATTGTATGGTGTCTGCCGGCCGTGCTTCCAAGACATAAACCTGGCGAGTGCGGGCCGGTATTGTTGGTCGAGTGACTTGCGCTTCCTTGCCATGGTCGACAAATCAGCGAGTAAACAAAATAGAGAGAGAGCGATGAGCGAAGAAACAAAATAGCGATTATGCATAGCTTTCGCACTCCATCCAAATTTATGGAGAGATTCGGTGAGGAAGAATGAAGGATCGATCCAATGAACTTGCCGTTGGATGCAGTCGTACTAGTACTACCCATGATACAGGCGTTGAATCAGAGGGGATATTTTGGCGTTTTTCCTCTCTTTGCGCTGTAAGTGCCGTTCCGGGTCGTTAAGTCTTTGAGTTTCGCGGAACGATTGTGTGTGACTAGGTTGTATTTCATGCACGATTGCCAAAAGATGCCAAAAGATACTTAGGCAAAAGTTGTATTTTGGGGTTGCCGATGCAACTACCAATGCGATTCTCAGTAGTATCGGATACCCTCAAATGCCTGGTTTTCCCCGGCAGAATACCCTCACAAAGCTTATCGTATTACCATACCCCAATAAAGGATACCCATACTTAAGCCTAAGTAGGGGCGAACTGGCTACTATGACTACAGGGTAAGTCCCACCAACCAGTGCGATCCCCCAAAGACTGATACCCTCGACCATGTGACTACCGTTGTATTTTGGTTATACAGTACCGGTACATGTAAGTCGTACTGAAATCTGCAAAAAGTGTCCAAGATTCCTTTCCCGCGTTTCTGATTTGGCCAGTTGAACATGTACATGTACCAATACTGGTACAGGCGCACGATGACAACTTTGCCCATGCAGTGCCATTGTGAACTCTACTCCATGGAATGATTGAATGATTCAATCATTCTCCTTCTTGCTTCTTGGTACAACCCAAGCAACCATGCAAAACTCTGATGCACAGGAGACAGGGAAGACAGGATTCAATGCTGAAGATGATGGCTTCAATGTGCTCGATTTGGTGGCAGCTCGGAGCAGAGGAGCTACAGAGGTTGAGCGCCACAAAATAGAGGCTTTTCAGCTGAAGGCTGCGCCAAGAAAAGAGGAAGAAGAAGCTCCTAGATCCGATCACAGCAGCACTTTCCAGAATTCTTTGGATGGCCCCCACACAAGTTCAAGCACTGCCACCAACGACACTGAAGAGGGAGGATCAGGACAAGAAAAACAGAGCGAAAACGAAGATGAGTTCATCATTAAAAGGTAGTTCAGCATCGACAGGAGCAACAGCAGCATACTTTAGCCTCTGCCAATGTAATTCCATCTCCAAATCAGCGACGAGTGCCTCAAGATTCGATCATGATGCGCCCAGGAGCCTATGCGTCCACACCCGGTATGGAGCTCCAACGATCGGACACCTTTCGCAGATCAAAACTGAGTGATGGATCTTCTTCACTGGAGGAGCCCTCACGTGATGAAAGACTCGCTTTTCGTTCGTCACAAGGATCATCCAGACAAAGAAGTTTGGAGTGCCTAGTGACGGCAGCTGATGGCACAACAACCTGTGTGGTTGGTGATGTTGGATTGGCTGTGGCGAACCAGGTTGAAGAAAATGAAGAACCTACACAGATTGCTAGACCCGACCATTTGCACGGGAAAAACAGATCAATTTCAATGACTCTCATGATCCTTGTTCTCATTGGCAGCAACCATCCCATCCGAAATAGGGCTTCTGAAAGGCTCTCTCAGGGAACTTGATATCAGTGGGACCCATATGGATGGCTCCCTACCTGAGGAGCTCTTTACAAAATGCACCAACTTGGAATTCCTGAAGGTCTCCAACTGTGGCTTGACTGGCACCATAAGCACTGGACTGCAGCTTTTGACAGAGCTAAATGCCTTTGTTATTTCCAACAACAAGTTCCACGGCACCATCCCAGAACAGCTTTCTGCTCTGACAAAGTTACATTGGTTTATTGTGAATGGGAATGATCTTTCTGGTTCGATTCCATCATCTGTCTGTGCTTTGGCTGACCCCGGAAAGGATTACTTTGAAGTGACAGCTGACTGTTTGCCGAGGGGTGGCACAGGTGATCCCACGGTAGAGTGCTCTTGTTGCACTCTGTGTTGCGATGGTGATGCTCCTGACTACTGCCTTCCGATGTAGCATTCCGCTGGACCAGCAACATCCTGAGTGAACAACCATTCAGGGTTCCTTCTACTAGGCACCACTGTAGTACATGTAGCCAGTTTTGGCGTACAAGCAAAGTCCATAATGCATGCACGGGTGACTCAGCGGTTTTAGCTACTGTCGTGTATCTGGAGGGATGCATGCCATGGTGACTATTGGTATACATGATGCACTAGCTAGCCAACCAGCAGCTAGCTAGCTCGCTAGAAAATGCGTCGGCTGAGCCAGCAGATTCGAATATGTTGCATGCGTAAGTCAGCGCCTCAATTCAGATGCAGTACGTGCTACATGCATGTCAGAGATGCTGGCTGGCAAGTAGCTAGTAGACTAGATAGATGATGGCTGCCATGGCATTTTAGATGCGGTGCGTAGATGCATCATCGTTACGGCGTTCGAGCTATCTACCTGCTTCTGCACTACTCCTTTGATGGTGCAGAATACCACTGCTTACAGTAGCTGCTCGTACGAACGGTGCACGGGGGCAACGCAGCTGGCACCGCATTCCAAAGTATGGCACGGTGTCGGATGGAACAAGCTTTCTATCTTGGGGTGGACTACCGGTAGCTACTACGTATTGGCTGGTACTACATAGACTACCGAGACAAACTCGATCGTTCCTTTTGCAACCTCTTTCCTCCTGCAGCCAACCGATCGACCCGATCTCTGGCTTCGAGGCTTTTGGGTTGGGTTGTTGTTTGAAGTGAATAATGAGACGCCCAAGGTCATCTCTACTCGCCAAGAAAGCAAAAGACCAAAAAGCCAGTTTGTTTAGAGAAAATGGAAGCGGGAGGACTTATTGCCGCCAATTCGAAAATTCGGATGAGAAGACTCACGTGGCTCGTAGATTTCTACAGCGCCTCTGCCCCTTTCGGCCTTGCTCCATGGGACTCCTTGCTTGCGGCGCCCACAAGACAACAACAACAAAAACCAGAACAATTGACTCGATCGTTGCACCATGGTGAGGGAGTAAGTCAGAGGGTTCTATTCATTTCAGTTTCTATATTATATAGCTAGCTAGTTTGTATCTTGGGGCATTCAGGATTGGACTGTTGACACTCAACTTCCAGAGGATTTGTTGGGGTTTCACCACAACTGGGAGCGCTTTTGTATTGTGGGAACGGAAACAAGGAAGTTCCATTCATTCATTCAGTCATTCAGAACCCAGTAGTCTAGAAACACGACCTGTCAATCTGTCACTCCTCCATCGCACTTGTTTCGACAAGACAAAGACCATGGCGACCACAGCAACATCCACCATAGCAACGACAACGACAACACCGCTGGAAGAGACGCGGAATCAACATCGCGACAAGGCGACGGTATTGCTCCGATTGGCGGAAGCAGTGGAAGACTCGAGTCAACGCCGTCGTCGTGGGAGTACTGTGACGGTGACAGCGGCGGATTTGTCTCAGTTGTCCTACGACTTGACAGTGGCAGCCTCGGAGATTCCTTCGAGTAGTCAGACCAGTCCTCTTGGTGCACCAGAAGAGATTACCAGTGTGGACCAAGTCCAATCAACCATTCAAAATGTCGTTCAGGCAGTCTACCAGTTGCGAGAACATTCGCACTTGAAGTATCAAATGCTGGAAATGAAATACTTTGATTTGAAGCGACATGCCTTTGATGTCGAACATCAGAATCGAAAATTACAAATGATGCAAGTTCCCCCCAATCATACCAACAATACAACAATCATTCATCCATTGTCAATAAGCAGCAGCAACAATATTCATCAACAAGAAGAATTGACGGCCCAATTGCAACAGGAAAATTACGATTTGCGCAAGCAGCTACGAGAATCTTGTTTTGACTGTCGTAAACTGGTTCAAGAAAACTATGGACTCCGTAAAATACTATTGGATGCTGGAGTCCATTGGAATGTGCTTACTACTAGCAATAGTAGTCATGCGGAAGAAAGCAAGGAAGGAGAATCCAAAATGGACGATGACAACTCCGAAACAAAAGAAGACGATTTTGAAGATGCACAAGAGTATATCGATACGACAACAACAACAGCAACACTGTCCGTTCCTGAAGACGAAGCACCAAAAGAGATGCCCACAGCGACAGCCACAACCCAGAATGTTGTTGAACCGCCAACAACAACAACAACAGAACCGCACGATCTTCCGGAGGCCGAAGAATTCCAGGATGCCGAAGAAGAGTTGAACATAAGCACAACGCCAGAGGAGGTTGTTTCCAAACCCCCCACCACTCCCGAACGGACCGTCTCCACAGGGTCCACCGATAGTCTCATGACTCTGGAATCATCACACGCTACCACTCCAACTGAAGTGTCGCCGCCAACAACCAACACGGATAAAGCGCCCCTGACGACTCCATCGCCGGCATCAACTACGACCCCCAGTAGTAGTGGCACTACCAGGAGCAAGAGAAGCAGTCGCAAATCTGTCACGTTTGCCAAAATGGCCACCAAACTAAAGAATGATCGAAGAACATCCATTACAAGTTTGGATTCGTCCAATGGCAACATGTCCTTCAATGCGTCCTTCAATTCCATTCAGAGTCACAACGACAATGATGAATCCGTTGCCACTTCCAACTCGGCCAGAACCAATGCCACCAATGCGAGACAGGAAGAACTGGAAAAGAAAACGCAAGAACAACACGATCGCAACTTGGAATTGCTCGGTGTCGGGGGTATTTATGCGGCGTCCTCCACTACGCCCACTCGGGAACCGCACAAAGGGGTCAAACAGGAGAGCAGGCTGCAGCAACCGCCGCAAATAAGACGCAAATCCTATCATCATACTGCCAATAATAAACCCATGACATCCATATCGGTTTCAAAGGAGCGACGACACAGTCATGGGGATATACTGCGGCAAAACAATAGCAATCACAGCCACCGACAGGCATTGACCGCCAAGGAACTCATGAGCAAGACCAAGAAGAGTGACAAAAAGCGAGGTTCAGGAGCACGCAAGACCTTTCACATTCAAATGTCCGCCATGACACCACCCCGATCGTCCCAAATTATGCAGGCAACCGAACCACTTGATCCACTCGAAGAAGAAAAACGATTGAGTGCCCTGCTGGGGGGATTTAGCATGGGAAATCATTTTGTGCCAACCACATCCACGGCAACAACCACAACAAGTACGGCACGACGCGACAATAGCTCGGACGACGTATCGGTGGCATCCTCGAAGAGCTTTTTTCGACGTCGAAAAAGCAAGAAATGGAGCAGCAAAGAAAGTGACAATGACGACGATGATCAGCGATCCGTGGGATCGACCAAGTCGTTGAGCAAATTCTTCAAGAAATCGCCGTCGCGCAAGAGTAGTAGTAGTAGTAAGAAATCAGATGATCGATCCGTGGGTTCCAACCGGTTGTTTTAGTTCAACAACAAAGAGCTCTCGACTCGACGCAAGAGCAACAACAACAACACGACGGAAAACCTACGAACTGCAAGAGCCACTGGGACAAGGAAACACGAGAGTGAACAAACGTCAATTTTTAGTTAAGTAACGCCGCTACAATTACCATACCAAGACAACCAAAAAGACTGGGAGAGACCACAATCAGCAATCGTGCAAACCAAGCCAATACATAATCATAGCTGAGTTGTCGCCTCATGCATACAATACAATAGCACCACCGCAAAGATATACCGGCAGCAGCGTAGCGTCTAGCTAGCTATATAGCAGGGAGAAGACTCATGGATTCGTGCCATCGGGCGTGTAGTGTGCATGTTCGTAGCTCATCAATGCAAAGAACTGAGAAGGCTCTCCCATGAGAGGTGGCGGCGGCGATTTTCCTTTGCCCTTTCCTTTCATCGATTTTTTGCTTTTCTTGGAAGACATACCCTTCGTATTGTCTCGGCCTTTCTTGTCTCCTTTCTTCGCCTCCTTGGTGGAGGACTTTGTCTTGTCCTTGAGCTTGCGGTTGCTCTTCTTGCTCTCCTTCTTCATTGAACCTTTTCCCTTGCCTTTGCCCCTCTTGACAGTCACTTGGCATTCGGTGGAACCCATCAAACCAGCCTGGTCTGTTGCCGTAACGCGGGCCGTGTAAACGCGAGTTTTGAAGGCGGGGTCTTTGATGCATGATTGGTGATGGTGGTAGCCATGATCATAGTCGTAGTTGCCATGATTGCCACGAGGGCTTCTACCGTACCGATACGACGATGAAGATCGCTTTTGGCTCTTGTCATCGTGATGAGAGGAGGATCGTTTGCTTCTTTCTTCGTGCCTGTAGGATCCTTTGCCCTTTCCTCCATGGTAGTGGCAACTCTCGCTGGCAACATACCATCCTACTTTGGACGTTGTGGCATTCTCGTACACCAACAGCATGTCATCGGAATGTGGGATTGTCTTTTCGTTGCTGAACCCTTCCACCTGGACGGAAACCTCCGTACCACAGTTCTCTGTGACTGTGTATGTCAGCTCAGGGTCAACCAGTTTGCCCTTTGGCTTGAGGAATTCACCGATTCCAAAGGAACAAGTAGGGACAGGTGGTTGGTTGTCAATGGTGACATTTATCGGCAGAGATGTGGTAGTCAGGGCATCGCAATCTCGAACACGAGCTGTCACCACGACCTGATGTTCACATAGACCGTTGGAATTGGTAGTTGCAACGTTCAGTTCGATTGGTCGGCAGTTCCCGGCGGCATCCACAGCGTCCGAGTTACCCAGTACACAATCTTCAGCTTCATCCACAGTAGCAAAGACCCTGTTGTTGCAAAGCTCAATCGACTTGGCCATGTCAAGGATTGGGTCCAGGTCGGGCCCCTGCAGAAATGCACAACTTTGGGTCTTCAGGTTTGAATCCACCAGCACTTGTAGCAAGAAGATCCATCCGGTACAAGATGAGGAACATCATGGGGCAAGCCTTCCGTATCCGCCAAAAGAGTGTCTTTAACTCACCTTGCATAGATTTGGTGGTGCTAAGATCGCATCCAGCTACTTTTGCCGTCACCTCAATGTCGTGGATGAGAGTACTGCATCCAGGCGGTATGGAGGAAGAGGATACTGAGGATATCAGGAGCTCCACATTTCGACATTCATCATTGGCGACAGCATGTTGTTCGATACAAGCACGAGCTGCGTCAATAGTGCTGAACATGATAAAGGTGGAACACTGGCTCACAGCAGATGATATATCCAGGGATGGGGCTATATCCGGGCTGCCAGAAAACTGGAAAAAGCAAAGTAAGTATCCTTCGCCTTTTCCTTTAGTGTCCAAAACAATACGACAAAAGCTGTCAACTCACCTGGCAGTAGGAGTTTGCACTGCTGTCTACCAAGACATCGAACGTTTCGGTTGTTGCCTTGGAGCAAGCACCGACTTCGGACGCTGTGACACTAACCCTTCGAATGTTGCCACATGTAGCGGGGCTACTATCGCCTGCTGGCGATGCTGTGGCCTCGACTTGGTAGCAATCATCCGTTGCAATGACATGGTCCTGGACACATTGTGTAGCAAGTTCCATAGTGGGAAAGACATGCTTGTTGGGCCCGCACAACTCGTGAACTCTACCAAAGTCAATCTCGGGACTATAGATGTCCTCCGCGCAAGTGTCCGGGACACGCACACTGGCATCGCAAAGGTTCACAATGCCATCGCAGCCATGGCCTGGGAGAAGCATCTCAACAGGTCTGCAAGTGGTCTCAAAGTATAAGTATTCGAAGCGATCTTGTAGCCAGTTGCCCATTGTTTCCATGTTGCCAAATATAATCTGCGTCGACTCGTAAATCTCAATGGGCTCTACATTCCCTAGCTCTGCAACCTCTGCGTAGGTAAATGCTGATATTTCAAACGCCTACAAGTGTATGCGGGGCGAGAGCCGAGAGAGAAAGTTAGAGCAGGATTCTCGGTTGCCTGTTGAACCAGCCATCGCGTTTATTCTTTACCAGATCCAAGGCGAACTTCAGAATTGTAAGTCCTGTTCCAATGATGGTCTTGACACTGGCCATCCAGGAATAGAATGTGTGAGGTACATGCTGCCATCGTGATGGCGCCGTGGCAGAGAAGGCTCAGAGTTGCCTGCACTTACCCAGCGCAGACATTGTCTGTAACACCAAATTGGATCTGAGAGTGAGAAAGACGTGAAGTGGTCTCGCAGACTGAGTCACTCTTTTCAGGATCAATTAATCGTACCTGAAACGCATAGTGGGTCACATGGACACTTTGCAGCATCAACCGTTTCCAAAGCAAAAAAGATTGTGTCTACTGCCTTGGATAGTGCAAAGTTTGTTGCCCTCCAGGCCTGGCCATTTGTCGCTGGAGGCTGCCCAGATGTATCTGCGCAATTGCAACAGAATCGAATGATTCAATCAATCATGAGAGAGCAACCATTGTTGAGTGCGGATGAACCGGTGCGGTAGAAGGAGCTAGAAAGGTGCGCCCAGGCCCGGCACCAACCCGCGAACCACTATCGTACCTCTGTTCTCTGGCTCTAATCCAATGGTTGGCACACAGTCCACACGTGCGTCCGCGGGGAGTGCCTCACATTGGCTCGATCCAGGGCCCCCGCCACCCTTGTCACCTTGATTGAAGAAAGAGTCGAGAAACGCAAAATCGGAGGAGAACCGAAGCTGAAAACGTCGAATAAAATCGTGAGTTGAGTTCAAGACTTCAATGCCATAGAATCCAGAGTGCACTGACTTGTTGAACATCTTCACAGATTGCTACATCACTGAAGTCGAAGAGAGACAAAGATGCATCAATTAGAACAGTTCGTTAGAGGAAAGCGTGAGTTCAGTTCTGTACATTCGTTCCATCGTCAAAGGAAGTACGCTACACTTACTTGAAGAAATTGGATTGAAAGCCAAAGTATTCCCGTGCTCTACCACAAGCGTAAAGATCGGTGGGATCATCGATTGCAGGGGCACTGTTCAAATACTCGACATAAACTGACAAGCCTGTGGTGTTGCCGAATTCAATTTCATCCTCTATGCAAAGCTTCAGATCTGTGCAATCTGTTGTCGGACAGAAGGTCCCACCGTAGACCTTGCAGGAGCTTTCTGACAATCCAGAGAGGACTGGACCCCTATCGCAGGTCGTTTCCAGGTTTTGGCAGTTATACTGATAGCCCCACAAGTCGCCTGAGAAGCACATTGTTGTAAGAAGTCAGACGGTTGTGACAAGTGGAACCCGTGATCCTTCTCCACTAACCTTCCAGCTCGTACGGAGCATTCAAACAGCATTCTCCAGGCATCGACTTGCCATCATTGACAACTGCATCTTTGATACCACAAACAAATCCCACCGACGCGCGGTCTCCAAAAACGAGCTCAATGGAGCTTTGGATCTCCTCGCCGTACACCGGGAGACACTCCTTCAACGCCTCGCTGATAAACGGAAGAAGGCAATCAATGAAGTTTGCGCCAAGGCCAAACGAGAAGCACTCTCCGACTCTGTCTTGAAACTCTGAGTTCACAAAGTCTGCATAGCATGCATCATACTTGGCCCGAATATCAGCGTATGTTTGTGTTGTGAATGCCCGCTGGGTGACGTCTGTGTATCTGCCGTGAACATCTCTGCCTTCTTGGTTTATACTGACCGGGAACACGTTGTCACCAGCATCATTCTTGAATGGGAACGGTTCTCCTCTACCATCCTCCAGAGCATTGAACAACTCTTCTGCACATGTCAGCACTTCCTGGGCAAATGGTTCTAAGATCGAGAAGAGGCCACCCATGTAACTGTCAAAACTCGCATCCAGATCAGGATCCAGATCCCTGTAGTTCATTCCCAGCGTCTCCAGCGCTTCGTCCATTTTCACAAAGACTGTAGTGCCCTCTGCCAAACAGACCTGACCAACGATAGCCCCTGTAGAATTACATTCGAACAAAGAAATGTAAGGACCAGCAAGATCAGACAATCAACCGAAGTGCAAGGTGCTGGTACCGGTACGGACGGGCGGCGAAGCAAAACCGCAGGATTCAAAAGATTCGATTGAAGATCGGATTGAATCGAATCGAATCATTCATGTTTCATAAAAATATGCAAGCGAGCCAGTCACGCTTTGTTTCCAGACAAAGCAAGATTCCACCCAGTCAAACACGGTTCCACAGGACCATCCGACGCTTGGACTCTTTCTGTTGGTCTACGTACCTTCCCATTCCGGATTACCGTTCACCTCAATACTCCGATGAAACTGGCGGAGGAGCTCGTCGCAAACAGCCAGGTTCGAATCGTTGACACCATCAGTGAGGAGGATTCCAGAGAGTCGCTGAATCTCAATCTGCTTGGCTTCAATTCCTTGCTTCAAGATATCAGTGTTGTATGCAGACTCGTCAAAGCCTTTAACAATGTCGTCAACCTCCCCTGTCTGGGGGTTAATATCATCACTGAAGTAATAGACAAACATGTCGTACAAGCTCATTGCGCGGGCACATGTTGCCAACTGTTCGCAGTTTTGACTCTTCGTGGCTTGAGTTCGACGGTGCCCTTGGCCTCCGGTGAAATGCCCCATTCGCGAGTGAAGGCCAGTCAACATCTCACTAAGAAACATATGATTGCCACTGACAACGGCCTCTTGAATCTTGCGGGCGTGGTGGTGGTGAGCAGAGGTGTGCTGCTGGAATCCAAAGGATGCTTTCGGTTTGTAATGTTCCCGCCAAGAGTTTCTGCTATCGCCACTGCCATAATTATCTTGGTGTGTGTGATCTGTGGTCTCAGATTCTGTTGCTCTACGACTCTTTTGAGACATAAATTCGTGCGGAGGGGGGCGGCGGCCTTTGATGTTCTTATGGTTGTCGCGTACCGTGCGCTCTCGGGCATCCTTTTCGTCCGCTGCGGCCCGCATGTAATACATTGCATCCGAGAGTGGTTTCTTAACGTCCTCTACCGCCTGACGTGCGATTTCCACGCTTTCGGCTAAGTGGGGGTGCTCCGTCAAATCCACCGATAACACATCGTTCTCCAGCGTTTCCGTGAGATCATTAGCAAGAGACCCAATGACATCCGCTCTGGCCTCGATATCCATCGTTGCAATGTCTGAAGGGCTCTTTTGGGTAATCTTTAACAAGGAGTCTGGCTTGTGAAGCCCAATCGACGAACGAAGATTGCTCTTGGGTCCAGGATGGAACGAAGGTGTCTGTAGTTTGGAAATTACTATGTGAGTGATTGAAGTTTCGACACGCGCAATTTTGCGAGCTCGATAGCCGCATGGGGTGCTTCAATCTACAACAAGACTTACCTGCTGGTATACAGCTTGATCAACAACATACGAGGACTCATTGAGATGTTCCTGGGCAACGACATTCGCCGCTTGACTAATGGCGGTAGTCCCCTGCGAGAGACGCAGGATGAGAGCAAAGACAAAAACAGCCGAGGTTCCCAACTTCATGATGGAAATAGCTTTCAACTGCCGAGATGAAAGATTGTGAGGCAAAGATAGATCAATCCATCGATCGGTGACAATAGACCTCTTTTCCACGATGCTTACGCTGTTACATTTTCCCTCGTGGAGGTAGCCCCTTCCTAGCTAGGAACAGTGTGCTGTGCTGAAGTGGATTAATTGCCTGCCATGCATCGTAACGCTTCGGAGGTTTGAAGCCACGTTCAGTAACAGCGCATCATTTTTTCTGCTGTGAATTACGTTCGTCTTTTCCCTATCAAGATGATCCTATGCTGCCGGTACAAAATGTACTACTGGGGCAACGTTTATTATCGTCTCGTGGATTCGGTACCAGGGGTACGGGTATCGTGAAAGGTAATAATGATATACCTATTACGCCGCATTGCCGTGGCCAGCGTGTTGTCTAGATTCATCATTCAATCCTTCCAGTCTTCGCTACTGCTGGTACGGTACCAGTAGCTACGGAGTTGAGTCGCAGCGGAGGTGCATCGGACACTGATTGAGGTACGTTAGCCATTGCGTCGAACGCCTCAAGTATCGGTACCGGTAGTGCCGCTACCGCTGCAGTACCATACCTCTACCGGTACCTTACAGTTGACGCTGGCTTCGCTACAGCGCAAAATTACTCCCGTCCCGGACATACGTTTCGGTTCAAGACGTGCATGCAACCATCTCCTCTTCTATGTTATAAGACTTCACTGGCTAGCTGGTACATTTACTAATAGTTGCCATGCATCCTTCCAGGTACAGGACCACTGGATGTTGTCGGTCCAACGGTAAGCTACGTTGGAAGGCAGTAGTCAGCAGCTTCACCATCACAACACAGAGTGCAACAAGAGCACTCTACCATGGGATAGCCTGTTCCACCCCTTGGCAAACAGTCAGCAGCCACTGCAAATGAGCCCTTGAGAGGATCTGCCAGAGTGCAGACAGATGACGGAATGGAACCAGAAAGGTCATTCCCATTCACACTAAAACGTTGTAGCCTTGTCAGAGCAGAAAGCTGTGCTGGGATGGTCCCATGGAATTTGTTGTTGGAAATATCAAAAATTTGTAGCTTTGTCAAACGCTGCAGTCCAATGCTGATTGTCCCTGTCAAACCAGAGTTGGAGGCCTTTAGAGCAACTAAGTTGGTACAACTGGTGAAGAGTTCCTCTGGTAGGGAGCCATCCATATTGGTCCGACTGATAGCAAGTTCTTTGAGAGAGCCCTTCAAAAGTCCTATTTCTGATGGGATGGTTCCGTGCAATTGGTTCCCTTGCAAAAAGACATGGCTATTACGACCTACATGCAATGCTCCAATTTCAGTGGGTAGAGTTCCTGTAAGCTACAAAGCAAGGAAAGAGAAAGGGTGAGCTGTCAATCACAGTTTAGGGTCTTGACCAAAAGTTGAAGATCACTGACGTTCTGTTTCGAGGAAAGGTTGTCATCCGAGGAAGGGCTGTCATACCTTATTGTCATGAAAAAGAATAAGAAGGTTTCCTTTTTGGATTACTTTTCCGACCTGAAAGAGCTCTGTAGGGATGGAACCAGACAAGCTGTTTGAACCAAATCCAAGTGTAGCCCCATCAAACAGTCCAATTTCTGTGGGCATTGTCCCAGTTAGTGAATTGTTTCTCAAGAGTATGTAGGAGAGGTCGTTTCCAAACAATTCCAATGGAATACTTCCAGACAGTTGGTTGTCCACAAGATTCAATAAAGAAAGGGCAGTGGAGCTGCCATATATGCTTGGAACGGTGCCTGTCAGTTGGTTCCCCTCAAAGTCTATTCCTTCCAGTGTGGAAAGGCTTGCAAGTTCTGTTGGCAGAGGGCCGTTTAATCCATTGTCCCCTGATAATGAAGCAAGCTAAGGATGAGTACAGGAGTCATGCATTTTGCTTCTTGTTGTGGTAAACAAAATTGAAAACAACTCACTGAGCTCTAACTGAGTAATGTTCTTCACTCTGTTGCACCCAATCCCCGCCCATTGACATTCATGAACACCTGTCAGCCACCTACTTGCCAATGATTCCACATGCCAGCATGTTTCATCATCTGCAGTTTCAGATGGCCCGCAATAAAGCCAGTCGCCCTCTTGGGATGTTTGAAAGTACGTTAATGACAAGATGAACCTCTGAAGAATATTGTTGGCATCTGGGTTGAGCTGCAGCGGATCTTCAAAAACGATCCAATCAAGAGCCTTGAACTTTGGCTGAGTGGGTTCTGGCTCCTCATTTTCCGGAAAATAGTTACGTCCAAAAGTCTCTTCGATTCTGTTTTTTATGTCCTCCAAAACAAAATATCGAAAGGAAGTGGGAGCCTGAGTCTCCACATTGCCTTCTCTATTGCTGCAGAGACCAGCCCCACAGATGGAACCAACAATCACTCCAACAAGTAGAAGGCTACCAATGAGCACATAGATCATAAGAGTCACAGAGGTTGATCCATTTTTTCCAGGCAAATTGTCGGGTCGAGCAATCTGTGTAGGTTCTTCATTTTCTTCAACCTGGTTCGCCACCGACAATCCATTGTTGTTGTTGGTTGGAGTGGTGGCTTGGTCATTTACGGTACTTTGATTCCTTGCGTTTGCACTTGACATTCTGAGCTCTTCATCAGAACTATCACCAACAGGCAGCTCATCAGAAGAAAGAGTGGCTCCCCCCACTAATGAACGCCTGAGTGTTGCGGTTCTCTGGAGATCAGTTCCGGGGGCCACTGCATATGCTCCTGGATGCATGGTAGGTTCATCTGGCTGATTTTGCCCACGGGTCAACCTTGGGTGTGGAAAAGCAAGCTCGTCCTCTAGACCAGCTTCTGCAGACGGAGTTTCGCTGGTAACCTGACGATGATTCTTTATACGCTCCTGTACTACCTTCAAAACAAAGGCATCATGTTCGTTTTCACTTTCTTTGATTTCCTCTCCCGTTGGTTTGTCGCCTGTTGTGCTCGGATGGTCCTCTAGAGCAGCTGCTGTTGATGGAGTTTCGCTGGTATCCTGGCGAACATGGCGATGATTTTTTATTTGCTCTTGTACCGGTACTGCCTTCAAACTAAAGGCAGCTTCTTCATCGATTTCCTCTCCCATGGGTTTGTCACCTGCTGTGCTGGGATGCTGCTGCAATAACTGGAATGACCTCTCCATTCCCTCTCTCTTTGATTGCTCGTCTTGTCTCTGTTGTGCTGCCAATTCCAACACTTCCAGCTTTCTGAGCTCCGCCTCTCTATTGTCCCCACAGCTTCTGCCAGCCACAATGTCCATCAACTCTTCCTCATCATCCATGATTTGGGCTGCTGCAGGTCGTTCCATCCTTGCCCATGCAATGCCCTGCGGCACAGTGATAATTGATATTGTGACGGGTTGTCCGAGGCTGGTTTTGACTGCATCCTCTGGCATCCTGAGAGTTCTGCTGCTCGCAGGCATATTCCGGTCAGGCTGGCTCCTACTACAGTACCGGTACCTGGTACGGTACCGGTAAGGTTACACCTCGCGACTATGCATACCGCTAGTCGATTGTGCAAGACAGAGGCACAGTCGTACCGTACCGCAATGTGCAAGACATGAGAGATACCGTACGGCAGTTGTTGTCAGAAAATTCCTCGAGCCGGAATCGAACCGACACGGATTTCGATTCTTTTTCCGCGATTCGCCTCCGAAAGTACCCCCTCGCGCCCCTCTACCGCTACCAGTACATGTAGTAGTTTCCCTTTTCCTTTTCATGACCTCTAGCTAGAGTACATGTAGCTCCGTTCAACCTGCACACATTGAACACATTGCCAAAAAGTCGCTCGAGCCGGAATCGAACCGGCACGGTTTTCGATCGTTTTTCCGCGTTTATGTCTAACAAAAACTTCCCCTTTTGTGACCTTGGCACTGGGATTTCGCCCAAGGTTATGCTTGGCCATCAAATAAACACATGTTCAGCAACGCATTGGCAAAAGTCTCTCGAGCCGGACACTGTTTTTGATCCCCCATTTCTGACACGGTTTTGGATCCCATTTGCGCAATTTCCCTCCAAAAATGTTCCTCCAACGCAACCTTGGCTCTCCAGATCCTTTGGCTTCTGCTTGGCCACCCATTGGACACATCTTCAGCAATACAATGGCAAAAGTCTCTCGAGCCGGAATCGAACCAGCACGGTCTTCGATCTTTTTTAATTCCCTTTCGCGACTGAATCGAATCGAATCACAATCATTCGATCCCGATCCAATGATCCTTTCACCTCTCCAAATTCATATGCCTCCTGGCTCGTCTCCGTTTCCATAAATCTTTTATTACCAACACCTAACTCGCTTTATTGAAACAGTACACTGTATTCGCGCGCTCCGCGCGCTCATCCCTTTCTCTGCTTCGCCCCGAAACGGATCCCTCATTCATGAAAAATGTGAAGAACGCAAGGCGACTTTCATGTGCATGTATATGCGTTGACTGTATCCCGTCAATACAATACTAGTCAAATACGTAGACTTCTACAGAGGCCTCTAAGTAATGCACGCGGGGTATAATTCAAACCTCCACTCCCCATCGGTACCCTTACCCCTAAAAGCAAATCGTCTCCGGGAGACGAAATTTTCGTCGCTCATCGTGCACTGAGACGTCGTTGGACCTTCTGGAGCAGCACCATGACGACAGTGGCAGAGGAGCAAGCGGATTGGGGCACAATCCTTTCATCCTTTGACTTCTTTGATGATGGAGAGAAGCTTTCCTACGCCAAGAAATTCAATGACGAGGGCTACGACGTGGAAATGATGAAGTTGATGTCGTTCAAGGATTTTGTCGAGCAGTTCCACATGCCCATGAAGAAAGCTTTGAAGCTGGCCGTGTTCCTCAAGAAACGAGACCGTGTGGAGGAGTCTCCTCCAAGTGCAGCTGCTGTCTCGGCGTCCTCGTCGTCCTCGTCGTCCTCGTCGCCCGCGTCGTCCGCGTCGTCCGCGGAAAAGGCGCTCTCAGATCTTGGCATTGACAACACGGCTCGCGAGGCTGCTCGTCAAGCCGTCGAAATGTTTCAACAGCAGCAACAACAACAACAGGCACGTCCACCCGCAAAGGATTTCGGAATGACTCTCAAGGGGAAACGGCCCAAGGATTCGCCATTCAACGTCATCTCAACATCAACATGGACCATGATGAAAGAACCGCGTCCCTGCGATACGACAACAAGCAAGCATACAGAAGCGGCGTTCCTGCAAACATCGCTCAGCCTGATTGTCCTCGTGAAGCTGCTTTGGAGGCCATAAAGGAACACGAAGTGCAGCCTGCATACGCACATCCTGGTTTCTTCTCGGAGAACGTGACTCCTCGCAGTGGTGAACTGCCGTGGGGGAATCTTGGAGAAGCTTACTTGATGCAGCAGGCAGTCACCCTCCCGCTTGTTGGCAACCTGGAGTGCACTGGACATGGATGCAATGCCACATTCCACTTTGAAAACGACTTGTTTTTGCACATGAAATGTTGCAAGAGCCAGGAATTTGATTGTCCGTACTGCGACGACTCAGGATTGGAACCAGAGAATTTCCTTGGGGAGCACCTCAATGCTCGCGGTGCTAAGAGCAGGCAATGCAAGAAGAAGCCTGGCAACTTTCGTCTAACGAAGGACCAAAGGGAGCATGATGCCACGCTTGATTTCATGACGCCACACAAGTGCCAGTTCTGCAAGCTCCGTTTTGCCACGAAAAAGAATCTGGCTCAGCATGAAAAAGAGAAGCATGGAAAGGGCAAGAAGAAATCGATTGTCGGCAAGAAAACAGTAAAGCAGCCTGCTGCCAAGAAAACCACAATCTCCAAGAATTCAGCACCCAAGAAACCTGCTACGAAGAAATCAATTCCAGTCAAGAGAACTGCTAGCCAGAGCACTACGGAAGCGCCTCCCCTCTTGGGAACTACTGGCGGTAGCCTTGCAGGTGCGACCGCCGAACGAACTGTCCTTGGAGAGCTATCTGGCGTCGAAAATGGAATCGGGGTTCAACGCTCCAATCGGCGCTCCAAGCGTCTCAAGAAATCTACAGACAATGATGAAAATGCGCGCTCTACCCTTTACCCCGTCTAGCTAGATACCTGGCATTGACGAACAGGGTAGTGGAGTTTTTGCATCGTGCATCGTGGCATACAACATGTCACGGACGACATGGCAATCCAGAATCGCATGATGCTTCATAGTAGGTAAATCAATAGAAAGGGTTCCGGGACTCCAATACTCTAGATTTAGATTACGCTTAGCTACCGAACCCCCGATCTCTTCAAACGTTGGCGTGTTGTCTTCATCGTCTAGCTAGCTAGTTGCGTTGGCAGCTGTGTGCCCGCCCGCACCAAGTGTCAACAAAATTGGGGAACATGGAAGGAAAAATGCAAAAAGTCTCTCGAGCCGGAATCGAACCTGGTAAGTTATTATTTACACGATGATAGTGTTAGTTTTGGATTCACCCATGGTCGGAAAATCCGGGATGAAGCACTTACCAGCGACCGATTGATATACATCTATGTCGCCATCTACAGTCAATCGCTCTACCAACTGAGCTATCGAGAGAACTTGAACAGCTGCTTCTTTCGCCGCTGACGTGGTGGCAGAATTTAGGGTATATATTTACGTTCAATGCTGTTTCCGCACCACTATCCCACCACTCCCGTTTGTACCAGAATACGCAAGTCAAGACCTTGGTCTAAATATTAACACCTCAGTGAGTTCAAAGATTCTTCAGTGATGGGGGAAAACATTCACTTGACCATGTCATTTCTCCCTTGCACCTCTGGCCAAGTTCACATCTCATGCAATCACTTGTGAAACCACTGGTCTCCAGCCAGGCCTTCCCCAATCAGTGATGTGGGCGACTATCCGCTGCTATCAACCCACCTCCACCACGTCCAGTCTCCTTCCTGGCTATCCATGTGACAATCACCAGCTCCCCTGCATCTCCTGGACCCAGATCTGCTTTCTCCACCACCATCTGCCACATCCACCTCCAGGCCATCAGGCACAAGCTCGCTACCAAGTCCAAGGTTGCCCCTCCACTCTACTTTCAAGCTCTCCTTCACTCAGGCATCATCATTCTCACCTTCACTGTTGATCACTTCCTTTGTTTAGGAAATTTTGCTCGTTCCTTCCTCTATGGAAACAAGAATCTTCCATTTGACCACCACCACCCGACAATGGCTAGACTTCCTTCCTTCACACAGCCTTTTGGGGAGCATGCGTTGTTGCCTGTATGAAGAAATCCAAGCATTTGGGTATAAAGTGGATTGGCTTCGTGATCTCTTCAATTGACAAAGCGGCCTTATTTGTCACAGTCAACAGCCGGGTATCCACTGCCGAACTGACCACAGCACACTGAATGATTGAATCAACGCCATGGACCTGAATGCCGCGTATACCAACCGTCCATGGAAGCTTCATTGCTTTCGTTCAATGAATACCGCCCGGTACATCGCACAGGTATGAGCTCACAGAGAAGGCGAAGAAACGGAGCCGCCACACAGCAAAGCGTAGTTTCCGTCAACAAGCACATCAAAAGACACGAATTGGTAGCGACAGGCAGGTGATGTCCCGGTAACAACCGCGGACTGTTCTTTTGGCATCAAGGCATGGACATGGAAAAACGTTCTAAAGCGGACAAGGGCGCAGTTTCGTTTCTTAGAAAGTGGTCCTCAGCTCGAATAGAGTAGAACCAGGTAGTATTGTGTCTGCCGATCCCCACTCGTCTCTTGCTTTGCTTCCGTTCTACTAAATTGATCCCAGACTCCATGAGCCTTTCGGAGACAGCTTACCACTTGAGCATCCATGAAGACGTCGCAGACTGCCTGGTCCTCGCCGTTTCAGCCTCCAAATTACCAATGCCACTTTTAAGATACAGAGAAGGAGCTCATTCCTTGGGCCAGCGCCCAGTGGAAGACCCCGAGCCCGCGTTTCCTGGAGTTGGACAGGTGCACATGCCCGATGATGTGATCGAACGATGAAGCCTGGCTGGCTATAGAGCTGATACATGTGATTGAGTCATCATGGCCAGCAACTTCGAGATCTTTCGATCAAGATTGATCAGACAGGCTCAAGTAAGGGGTTTAGAAGAGGAGGAAGTGAACATACATAAAACGAGTTTCAGCCATGATGGATGTCTGAATGTCACGTCCCAAGAGTCGGCGACTAACATAGCCAGTGTGATCACAAGACCTCAACTGAGCACATAAAGAAGGAAGCATGGTTCCGGCAAGTGAAAAATGGCTGTTGTGATCATGTATCTTGTGTAGTAAGTAGGGCGCTCATACCGGTAGCATAAAGCATGCATATGGCGCATTCTTTGTTTTTTTTTATGAAAGATCTTTATCCTCTTCGGAGCTGTGGCAATCCCACGTCTCAGTTGAGGGACAGTCCGGCTTTCTTCGAAAGATACTACATAGCTAGCTAGAGCTAGCTAGCCAGCCCAGCTAGAGTCGAGTCCATGAATTTGCGAACGAATCGAATCCAAGTGACGCGACTGCCAAATCAATTTCATAGCTATTTCATTGGTCTGGATGTCTGGATAGGTAGAAGGGGTTTAGAGTAGGGAAATTATCTACGGAAGCCAGCCACGTGGATTGGAGGTGCCCCCGAACAACAACCCCCACAAACCACACTCACACAAGCTCTCATACATCTCCCTTTACCGAAGTCGGCACCCAACCATCGAGGCACCGGTACATGTAGCTAGTAGCCATCACCGCACATTGCCCCTCACTATGTGGTCATTGGGCGAGTACTGCAAGACACAATTGTTGCGACAACGATTGGAGGATTGGTCGCAGTTGCCCGCATCCAGTCGAACATTTTTGCAATCCCTCCAACTTCCCACCATTCATCCCTTCTGCGAAGCGACCAAGCTGGATGAGTTTCAAGTGAACGGAATCCCTCCCATGGGACCAATGCTCAAAGAGGACTATCATCATCACATGGGAGATGTTATTGTCACACACATATATCGAGTGTTACCGGCCTTGATGGCCATGGGGGAATTGTGGCTTCGGCTGTTTGCCTCGGTCATTGCACCCCTTGGCATTGCCTATCTGATCTACTGTGAAATACTGTTGGTACTTCGTGGTACCAACAGCAACAGCAATAATAAGGCCGTTGGTACTTCCACCAAACTCTTTTCAGTCACTATCCTCTTGACCGTGGCCTCTTCTGTGGTACTCTTGACAGACACCCTTTACATTTTGGAATTTGGTCCTCACTATGGATTGGTCATCTTCGTGATATCTGCAGTTCTGGCAACCAGGACATGCAAGCGACGCCAACTCCGATGGACCCTGCAGGGATTGCTCTTGTTGAAGTTATGGACCTTTTTCTTGATTTACGATCCCTTTGTCGGCAAGATTTCCTTTGGAGATCGTGTGGAAGCCGTCCAAAATGTCACAGAAGGACTCTACTACCATCCACAAAACCAATTTATTCAGCACTTGGTTGATGCCTGGCCTGTGGAAAAGCGCACATACTCTCTACAATTAGGTGCCACAGTTTGGATGCCCACAGGAGATTCTCGAACGGGATTTCCCTTTCTCCTCAACAAGGACCTATCACCACCGGCCTATCGTCGACTCTGGCTCGAGACGCATGATCACGAATACGTGGCATTGGATATTGCTCTTCCTGAGAAAGGGCATAGTGACAAAAAGCCATTATATATGGTCTTGCATGGATTGAATGGTGGGAGCAACGAAGACTATGTCAAGGAATTTGCCCATCGTCGAATAGCTGAGGGTTCCACAGTTGTCATTATGGTGGCTCGCGGATTGATGGATCTACCAGTCAAGGGGTGGGATGTCTTTCATGGAGCTCGTGTCGATGATGTTCATATGACAGCAAAGTTCCTACAATCCTTTACAGTACCTAAACAACAAACCTTGGCAGCGGTGGGGTACAGTATGGGTGCCATTATTCTGAGCAATTATGTGGCCCGCAGTGGCAATGACTGTGCCCTGGATGTAGCTGTGGCCATTAGTGGTGGATTGGATATGCGGTTCGAACACCATTTCTATCGTGCCCAACGATTGTGGCACCCCATGTTGGCACAGAAATTGCGGGATACCTTTTTGGTCCAGAAATGGGGTGAACGCTTTCGTGCTCGTTTGTCATCGGAGGACCTGAAGCAATCCATGCGGGCCTATCATGTGACGGTAAGATGTTGCAACAAATTATTCAATACTTGAGTAGTGTTGTGGTGCAGTGGCTGATTTATGTCTGACATTGCCCTCCTCTCACCCTTCGTGTTGTCAGGAAATTGATCAGCATGCTGTTGCGCCGTACAATGGATTCGACAATGTGACTCATTATTACAGCGAAATGAGTGCCATGGGAGATATCCCATTGGGCGCTTATCAGAACGAAGCATCCTTACCGGAGCACGCTCGAATTCATAACGTTGCCATTCCCTTGTGTGTGGTCCATGCATTGGATGATCCCTTGTCCACATGGCGCACGGTTGGAGCCAACAATGGTCTGATGCATCCATCCACATTGACTTCCCAAATCAGGTCCGGCAATCTACTTGTACTATTGACCAAGGCTGGCGGGCATGTGGGTTGGCCTCTTGGATGGCTTCCGTGGATTCGGAAGTGGGAATGGATGAACAATGCTGCATCTACATTTGTTGAAGCTGTGCATCAAGTATCACAACAGCACACCAACAATCGACAATGTGTCAATAGCGGTGGTGGCAAGTGTTCTAGTGGTGCTGGAATCGATACTGAAGAGGATGCCGACGCTGCCACCACTGATGAGGCTCCATCTTGCTGTGACACAGAAGAGACCGTAACAGTGGCTGATGCTGAAGAGGCAACCACCAATTCGCTACCAAGCGTGGACGAGATTGAAAGTACGGATTCCGATACACAAAATGAAGAGGGTCAAAGGATTCATGAAACGAAAGAGACCAGCGATGACGGAAGCTCTGAGGTGGGGACAACTGATCAGGTGCACGTGGACGAACCACCGTTGGGGGCAACTGAACAGGTTGAGGCAGATGATCAGGAAGGGCTCAAGGAGGAGCCACTTTCAGAGCCGGTTGAAACTGTTGAGAGCAATGCCCACTAAGAGGACGCATAGATACAAGCATTCGCTTTCTTTCCGCGGCGAACCTGGTTCCTGAAACTCAATTCGCTCAATTCAGTTCTCAGCAGCCTTTAGCAACTTTGATAGCTTCGGCACGAAGCAAGAACTCATTGCAATGATGGACGCAAATTGCACGTTGAAAAACTGAGCTACAGTCATCCCACGCCAGCGATTGGAACTACGGAAACAAAAGAGCATTCTCCTCGACCCAGAGAATCAGCTTTCTCAGCGGAAATGCCATTGGCTGTAGGGAACTGATCAAGAAAAGGCGGCAACGAGGGCTGCCTGGGTTCAAAACGTTCTGGGCAAACATTGAGGATTCAGAAGCCGTGTTTTGAATCTGGTCGCTCAACCCAGCGATCTGTGCAGAAAGAGACGATTGAAAGAGACCGAATCTATCTGGAAGTTGCTAGCATCATCCTTTTCTCGAAGCTTCTTGTTTCCGATGTGGTTTGAACATGGATGCGTTATTTTACAGGCATTTTAAGAGATACTTCGGTTTGGATCCTTCTTCCGTGACCCTAGCTATTGGTGCCGTTGTCGCTGGACTTTCGATTGGCTTGTCGTGTAAAGGTCGCATCCAACATGCGTCACTGCGCTTCCGTATCCCCCGTTAGATGTAGATTGATGTCTTGTAGTCGTGATCGTCGTTCGTTCGTGTACGGCTTGGTCTTTCAAAAATCATGATTTCCGCTGCAGTTGTTCCCGGTTGTTAGCCCTTCATAAACGGAGCACGAGTAGTGCTTTGAGGTAGTATGAAAGTGCAACCGTTAGTCCTTCACATCCATGAAAAAGAACGGCGAAGGCTTTTTGTCGTCTGTCTTGTCCGATGCATTTGTCTCCGTTGGTTCAGGAGGAGTGCTCTCTACCTTTTTGACTGGGCTCTTTTTGGAACTTCGTTTTTGGAAATTTCCAATGCTACCCTGAATCTTTTCCAACTCTTTGATGGGTACTTGGGCCTTGGCTTCCTCAAGAGCAGAAGAAGCGGAAGCCATGATATTGCCAAAGACAGAACTGGCTTTGGACTTGAGTTCATGAACTTTAATGTCCAACGGAATGGTTTCAACTGGTGGTGGTGATGTGGGGGTACTCGTAGATTCCTCTCGTTTCTTTGGTTGTGATGTGGGGGTACTCGTAGATTCCTCTTGTTTCTTCGCAATCGCCTTGTCGGTGTTGATTAATAAAACTGGCTCGGGCTCTTCCACCTCCGCGGTGGATGCTTTTGCTACTTGCTGGACGACGGCAGCCGTCGCAGCTTTTTCTGCCGTTTGCCGCTCCGACGCTCGTTGATTCGCTGCCTGTATTTCATCGGCAATAGCATTGGCGCCTTCCTGGAGCAATCCACCGATCACGGCACAAAGTTTGACAAATCCCTTGACACCCATGACCACTTTATCGAAAGCTTCTGCATATGTGAGATCCGTGTCTTCCAACGTGGTAGTATTCATGTTGTCCCTGGCCCGCAGAGCAAATTCGTACCCTTCCTTGGCGAAAAAGGATGCCCCCTGAAGCAGTGCTTCTGCGCCCTTTTTGGCCGTAGCAGCTGCCTGTCCTACAGCTTCCGGTGGAATATCAATCTTGGGCAACTTGACAGGAATATCCATGCTGGGAATGTCTACCACTTTGGTTGTTTCTTTTTCTTTTTCCACTTGGATTGTCCCTTCCACCTTCATGGCCTTCTTCTTGTCATCGATTTCACTCAGGGCTGTGTCGACTTCTTCCATCAATTTGTCGACCGCCACGGCTGTTTCCGCAGAAACTTTCTTTCCAGGCAATGTCTCGTCCTTTTCGACAGCCTTGGCTTTTCCAACCACGGGCTCCGGCTTGGATTTGGCGTCGACACCAGTAGGCTTTTCTTCTTGTTTCGCAGCCTTGGCTTCTGCCCCCATATAAAATGGCTTGGGTGGTTTGGCTACGACATTTGGTTTTTCTTCCTTGACAGCCTTTGCCACCACGGGTTGTGGCTTGGGTTTGTCTGCTACTACCTTTGGCTTTTCTTCTTGGACAATCTTGGGTTTGTCCTCTGTCTTCTTTGGTGGCGGTGGAGAGAACTTGGCTTTTTGTTCAACAACCACCTTGGGTTCTTCTGCCACAACGGGTTGTTCAGGCTTGGGTTGATCTGCTACGACCTTTGGCTGTTCTTGGACAATCTTGGGTTTGTCCACCATCGTCTTTGGTGGCGGTGGAGAAAACTTGGCTTGTTGCTCGACAACCACATTTGGTTCTTCTGCCTTAAGGGGTGTAGAATCCTTTTTTGTGTTTGGTGGCGTGGACACGACTGCTTCGACTTTTGCTTCTGCTGGCTTTGGTGGTATTGAAGGTGCCGTTTCTACCTTTAGTTTTGGCTCCTCCGCCACAGGCGTGGGTGGATCCGCTTTTTTCTCGGCAGGCTTGTCGACCGGCTTGGGTGCGTCAGCCTTGGGTGTTGTGGACTCTGTCGCTGACGGTTGGGACTTGGCTGGTGATGATACAGTTGCCTTGGCGTCCGCATCCGGGACCTTTTCGACTGGCTTGGGCATTTCGGGCTTGACATCGGGAGTCTCAATCTTTCGGGATTTGATTTTTGGCACCACCAGTTTCTTCTTTGGCACTTGTGGAGACTCAGCTGCTTTCGCTACAAATGGCTCTTCTTTCTTTTCTACAACTGGTGGCTCCTCTTTCTTTTCGATCGCAGGTTCTTTCTTTGCCGCAACTGGAGGCTCTTCCTTCTTTGTTTCTACCACAGGCTCGTCCTTTTTCGCAGCAGCAGGTTGTTCCTTCTTTGCTTCTACAACAGGGTTTTTCTGTGAGACGACTGTTGGTTCTTCTTTCTTTGCCACTGCAGGCACCAATGGCTCTTCTTTCTTTTCAACAACTGGTGGCTCCTCTTTCTTTTCAAAAGCAGGTTCCTTCTTTGCCACAACTGGAGGCTCTTCCTTCTTTGCTTCTACCACAGGCTCGTCCTTCTTTGCTGCAGCCGGTGGTTCCTTCTTTATTTCTGCGACCGGGTTTTTCTGTGAGACGACTGTTGGTTCTTCTTTCTTTGCCACTGCAGGCACCAATGGCTCTTCTTTCTTTTCAACAACTGGTGGCTCCGCTTTCTTTTCAATTGCAGGTTCCTTCTTTGCCACAACTGGAGGCTCTTCCTTCTTTGCTTCTACGACAGGCTCGTCCTTTTTCGCTGCAGCCGGTGGTTCCTTCTTGATTTCTACAACCGGGTCTTTCTGTGTGATGACTGGTGGCTCCTCTTTATTTGCCGCTACCGGTGCCACTGGCTCTTCCTTCTTTTCAAGCACTGGTGGCTCCTCTGTCTTTGGCGCTTCTTTCATTTCCACCAATGGTGTTTTCGTTGCTTTCTTGACCTTTCTCTTCAGTGGCAGAGGTGGAGTTTCTTTCTGGACAGCTGCTGCCGCTTCCTTGTACGCCAATTCGGTGGCGGTCAATTCTTTTTTCGCTTGTGCTTGTTTGGATATGCGTGCCTTTTGTTCCATGGCCAATCGCGCCTCGAGGAGTGCCTTGGCCGTGGCTTCTTGACGGGCCTTGGCAGTGTCGTCGACCTTGACACCATTACTGCTCGCTTCTTGTTCTTTTTGCTTGGCGGTTGGTACCGTCGGAGCCATGAAATTGGCGTAGGCGTCCATTGTCGTTGGATCCACTGCTGGCTTGGTGGGCTCAGTATCCTCGTTGCTGACTGCCATGACGAGTTGGAACGGCACCCTGCTCGTCGCCACTGGACGCCGCTGAGACATCATGCTGTTGGGTATCCAGGCATCTCCACAGGGTCCTGACGAGACTGCCAACAGCAGAGCGGCCTTTGTAGTAGTAGTAATAGAAAAGATTCTCATGGTCCTCTCAATTCGATTCGACTTGTGATTTTATCAGAGATCAATTACTCGTGTCGAGAAAGCCGTTGGTTGCACTTTTTATGTGGTCCACTGATGCGATCTTTCTTTTGTAACAACTTTGTTGTGGAGCCTCTCCGATCCTTTTTTGATGGCTCTGTGATTGAGAGGATCCATCACTTGCGACCAGCCAATCAAGTTCTTCCACAAACCACAAACCTGCACCTGGCAGCTGCTTCCGCAATGATCCAATCGTCGAAATGACGTCACGTAACATTTCGACTCCCACCACCGCATCTTCAGCTGCGTTGAGATGGCTGCGACCTGCCACCCACCCATCCAAACTCTGACGCCAAGCTTTGATTGCAAGAAGGCTTAGCTTGATGAGGATTTGCATTGCTTGCAGCCTTGAATTTGCAAGCAAATGGGTTGTTGCGGAATGGGGTGGGAGCAAAAAAGAAAGCCCAACTGGCACCAGACTTCCGCCCCCATCCCTTCAAGCGTCAAGGACATCATGCCTTTCTTGGTCTCTACAGTATGATAGCTAGAAAGCTCATTCACTTGCGCACAAATTTTTGCATACAACATAGTACTGCAGGAAGGTATTCGGCCCCAAAACAACAATCAGCCAGCTTACTTTGATCTCCTCGCTACTGGCAATGCAGGGGTGTAACAGGTTTTCGACGTAGCTGCCATTCAAAGAACAGAGTATTATTACAGGGATAGACCCAGATAGAGAAGGATTCCCCTCCAAACTTGTGGTGTGCAGTGAGTCGGAATGCTGCAGAAAAGGAAAATTCTTCTGGCAGCCAGAGTGCCTGCCTGCCTGATTGTTGGCAAGGCTCATCCGGCCCATGAAACTTAGTTTGCCAAGTTGGGACGGGATTGGACCAGATAGCACATTGCCGAGCTCCATTGGGATGGGTGTGTGAGAGAGAGATACAACTCACTGGGGATCGGACCCACCAGCCAGAGCTCAAGCAAAGCAAACAAAGGGATGGCTATGGTTCCTCCGATCCCACATGTAGCTAGCTACTTATCTGGCTGGAGCTTCTCTGTGTTGGTTAAACACTAGAGAGACTGTAGGCCATGGTGGAGCTTATTTTAAAAGTCAGTCTAAAAAGAAAAGTGAGGAATCGCTTTTGGTGGTCCAGTCGATTTCGAATTTCAGTCCCGGATACTCATGACTCAACACACTCCTGCCTCCATCCCTAAAAATCGGATGGAGGAGCATATCCCATAATCTGATCACGAAATTTCTTGAAGGCGGCTCCTTGCAATGGCTTCGACATAAAATCTCCTATCATTTTGTCCGTAGGACAATACTCGACCACAAGATTACCCTGATGTATTTGGTCGGTAAGGAAAAAATAACGAATATTCAAAGCTCGCGTACGACTTGTAGAACTGTCCTTGCCGTTGTTTTCCAATTGAATCGTCGACTTGTTGTCTTGTTTGAGGACGGTATCCATGCGGTAACCCTGAGACTCCATAAACAAACGTGTCCACAACAGTTGTTGGACGGTATCATCGGCACCAACCAACTCTGCTTCGGTGCTGCTCCTCGTATTGAGCTTCTGCTTCTTCGACATGGTAATAATACCACCTTGTCCAAGTGTAGCAACTGCACCTGTGTGGGAACGGAAGTCAGGGTGAACAGCAAAAGCTGCATCAAAAACGTACCATTGATCACATTCAAGTTATCGCAGAAAGGATAAGTTTGTCGTACGCGTGCTGTCACAATAATGTAGCATACGTAATAAAGCTCTCCCAATCGCTTTCAGTCGAGACTGTACCCTCGTGCAAAGCACGGCGATGGTAAGGTGAATATCGGGCGTGCTCGTTTACAGACGAACAACCCTTGGCAGTAAATGTGTGGTATTCCTCCGCACGTTTCTGGTTCCAGTTTTCACCTGTTGAGCGTGGAACAGAGTTTCTGCCGCTGGTGATGATACTGTCACGTCGGGGTCAAACTTGCGGAAAAGTCATACACCATCTTTCCAACATAATCGGTCATGTCCACGATTAACTTCCCGGGCTGTGAGAAGTCTAGGGTCATACGAGTATCATAATGTGTCCTCGTGTAGCCTTGAGGCACCAAGATCCGTACATCTTGTTGAGCCATTCCAAGAAACATCGTTCACTTTCGCATCAACGTGACCTGACATCAGATCGTCAACATGGAATCCCATGTGTGTTGCTTCCGTTAATCATTCGGTTTGCAAATACATGGGTCATAGATTAAACACAAAGCCGATGCTCTCCAAATCCTTCGGAATTTGCGGTACCAGAGCAACGCTGCGACCAACATCCCATAGATTGCCTTCATCACTTGAGTGTAGAGACTTTCTGTCCTCGCTCAAACATCACAAAAGGCTTGTACACGTCTGGTCGATACTACAAGCATATCACCAACGCGCCTTGTATCTCATAAATACCGGTTCTGAAACAACTGGCATTTCGGTTTCACAAATGCGTTCGGCACGTCCGCAGTAATCACGTCACGTCCCTCATGTGCATTCACCAATGCTGTCCACCAATCCCTCAAGGGATACGGTCGGACTCTTCGAATCGTCCTTGCCAAAGAACTTCCTTGTCGGTTTCCCATTGAACACCATTCTGCCTTTGACAGACTCGTCACGCTTCTCCGTACAGAACATCACGCAACTTGGGTTTTTCTTCGCTGTTCCTCAGTCATCGTGGCAGATCACGAGGAGCAAATGCAACTCGACATGCAATTGGCCAATTTCCTTCAAAGCGGCCTTGTAACCACGTTCACCAAAGACTTTCAATCCTTTGTCCAGCAAATATTGCTGGCCGTAACTGTGACCATACTTCCCTTGTTGAAAGCGGTCTTCAACTCTTGATGTACTGTGCCATAACCATTCCTTCAATCTCACATACTCACGAACACTTCCCTTCCGAGGACATGTTGTTCGTGATGTTTGGCAGTCTTCTATGATAGCGTCTCTCTCTTCTTGCGACAATCCTTTCTTGATATCCGCCATAGTGAGTGATAGCCAAACATAGTCTCGTGGTTTCACTGTTGCTGCTGCTGAGGTTCAGTCTGTCAGGGACCCTAGTCTTACGCTTTTGTCGTCCTGATGCCCGAATCTCTCCATGGTATCATCAATTGCTGAGTTTGTTCCCTGACGGCTTCTCTATTCCTTCGGGAATGCCATCATCGCCCGAATCATCGTCAGAATCATCAGCTTGCTTTGCTTCTTCACCATCGTCACTCTCCTCGTCATCACTGCTATCCGAGTCATCGTCATATTCTTGGTTCGCTCGAGGCAAAAGTGCTGGTGGTTGATCTTTGTTGTCAACGACTGGGACCGGACGCGATCCACTAGCAAGTAATCCGCTAGCTCATTCTGGTCCAATTCTTCCCATTCGTCTTCATCTTCATCGCTTTCGTAGCTTGTGACTGTCAGAATCCGAGTCATTATCAGATTCGTTTCCAGTCTTCGTCGTCATCGTCGTTTCCCCGTCCACTCCTGCGAGCCAACGCCCTTGAACTTAGAGTCACTTCGATGCTTGATACTTAAACTCCCGATCTTCTGTTGATCTGCCATTTCGCACGCGATCAATAGACGCTTGAGTCATCGCACTAGCCACGCCCGTGGTCTGGAAATCTGTCCTGAGCGCAAGTCCAATACAACGTGCCCAACCTGAAAATTCCGAGCAGGGCGGAGATAATGGCATCATCGTTCGGGGATTCATCTATTGTCTCCGTCTTGATTCACATTCCTAAGAACCAAACCCAAACTGGATTTCTTTGTCATAATCAATATGTCTGCCTGTAATGATGGTTTAGGGGCTCAATTGGTCTGAAATACCAAGCTTGGTTGGGACGATTGTACCGAATGAGCACCTTCCTTAACCATGTTCCGAAGCATCACACGATGCATTCTCTCAAAAGGCAAGTGTGCGTAGAAATGCGCACTCGCTCCTTTATTATTCTGTTTTTTCGCTCCGCGGCATGCACAATGTTCATCCGCAGACGCGTAGTTCGTCTTGATTTGCATTTTACCTTGACAGGATCGAGAATCTTCTAAACTCCCCATCGCAGGAAACACCGAGATACGAAATCCTGCAGCATTATAGCTGCGCAAAATTCATTGAAACCCGCAAGAACAGACTTCTTGCTTCGGTTCCATGTGATGCAGTGCTGTATCGTACAGACAAGTCAATTCCGGTTAGGAAAACTTCCTTGTTCACGAACATCAAATCCATCAAGTATTCCAATTCCTTAAGCATGGCCACCAGTCGATCGGGGAATCTCTGCCCAATCAACTTCACTGGGGCAGGACGCTGTCGCGTAACCTTCCCTCAGCGCACCCACTCTTCTCCATACACGAGTACATATTCCGAACATCCTTCTCATAACAGGACAATTCCGAATCACATTATGCTTGATGGCTTCTTGTAGAGTACGAATCGTAGTAGTTCCCATACGGAAATACAGCTGCCAGCTTTTTCCATGCCGGCGCGTTCTCGTTGGGAATCATCTTCAAATTTTCATCAACAGTCGGAACGGACTTCCCCACTCCTGCATTTTCGGCAGGGGCCGTCTTCGACTTGACTTGGGCTAATTGGAGTAACGGATCGTCCTCCTTCATCCCTTCTTGTTCCGCATTGCCGCAACGGCGTCAAGAAACTCTTTCGATACTTGATACATGTACATACCATTCTTCCGTCTTGTAAACTCGACGATCTTCCATGGTGTTTCCACGTAAACGATATCTGCTTTGCGGTTGTCGTACCACATAGGGAACGTATCGGACAAGTGTGTCCATCCACGCAATTCATCAGGAACGACTTGTGAATAACGGCGGTTCCTGGTAACCCGGGTATATCCTTCATCCCTTCTTGTTTCCGCATTGCCGCAACGGCGTCAAGAAACTCTTTCGATACCTGATACATGTACATACCATTCTTCCGTCTTGTAAACTCGACGATCTTCCATGGTGTTTCCACGTAAACGATATCTGCTTTGCGGTTGTCGTACCACATAGGGAACGTATCGGACAAGTGTGTCCATCACACACAATTCATCAGGAACGACTTGTGAATAACGGCGGTTCCTGGTAACCCGGGTATATCACCCACTATACTGAACTTTCCCATTCCAACGTTCGTTTTCATGCCAATCGGTGTATCCAGTTCCCGAATATTATGGCAAATTCTTCCATCCTGCACAGGTTTCTGCGAACGTCGATCCACAATCCACCGCTAACATTGTTCCTTCGGTAACTGCGAGAAATTGCACCACAGTCTTGCTTAACGCTTTCGGGTTGGGATCCCGCATCAAACGAATACGATCCTCTTCACTAACTCCTGACTGAGGTGTATACCAAAATACTCGTCATGCCGCTTAACTTATCGGCTATCTGACATCCGTGAAACTTCTGCTGTTCGTTGTACTTGAACATCATGAAACTTCGTATTCTTCCGTCGAAATCGTGATTGTTTGCATCCCCTGGAAGCTCGTACCTTGTTGACTCCAAGAGGTCTGCTGCGCACTTTGGCTGCTGGTCTGTTCACTCCTGCGCATCGGAGCGCTTAGAGTCACTGGCGTTGCCGCCTGCTGCTGCGGTGAGCCGCATGCGTTCTCCTGCATGTAGCTGTTGAACTTGTCGAAGCCCAATCACCCGCGCAATCTGGTTCTTTTTCGGGCAATCCGCACCTTATGATCCGGGGCCCCGCAGCAATAACAAAAACTGGCTTCTTCGGTGCTTGACTGCGCAAAACTATCTCCCTCCAGAGGAACACCCTGATTGGAAGCGTTGTTCTTCGGCGGTATCCATCACTCCTACCCCCGCCACTTGCCGGTTGGCCTTGTAGTCGGAAGCAAACTTCGCGTGTGGACAATATTCACTGCCTTTGCCAAATCCCGTGGGTATTCGTCCTGACCACGCGTATAACGCTCACGGAGATTGGTCTTCAAATCCTTGTACTTCGGATGGAAAGCGTTGTTCACCATAATGTAGGCCTGCAAGATTGTCGGACCTTGCTGGCGCCACGCTGTTTTCTGCTCGCTGGTCCAGTTCTTCTCAGGGTCGAATCCAGGGAGCGTATCCATGAATTGGTTGAGCCAATGCGGCCCAAGGTATTTCGCCAATGTGTTGAAGTATCTTGAACGCGGTAACCAAAAGTATCGGCTTATTCGTGTTCTTCCTGCTTGATCGCCACCAGTTGAATATCGCTTTTGTCAAAGTAGCGAATGCATAGGTTGCACCAGTCGATCTGGCTCAGCTTCTCAAATCGTAGGAGCAAAGCGACGGATCCTTGTCCAACTTCGAATCGAAATCTTCTTCCGACTTGAGTTTGTCAACCATTCCTAGTGTGCAGTACTTCGTCTGAATGAGTGTCACCATTCTGGTTCGGTTGAAACCAATCTTGCGCACTCTCGCCCTCCATTCTTTCATCTCGAGTCTAGTTCTTTGCGTATGCATTGTTCTGGAGTTCCTTCTTCTCCGCATTCTTCTCCTCGGAGTACTTCAACTCTGGCTCGTCAAGTTGAATCGTCTTCAACTCTGTAATCTCGTACTGAATGTCTTGCGGGTATTCGTATTCCGCGCACTCGTGTTTCAGTTTCTCTCTGATCAGCTTGGAGGACGCATACTGTTGCCTTCCGGACGAGTTGGGTGCATACTTGTACTCCACTGTCGTCGTCCGCCTCGTGTTGCTGTTGCTATTGTTGTTCTTCTTCTTCGTCGACCCACTCCTGCCAGAGCCGTTGCCTCTGGTCTTGCTCATGATGGACGACTTGTGTTGGAACTTGCGGACAAAGATGCCGTAGCTCTCCAACCGTAGCTCAAAATCAAACGAAGTTATCGTTCTTCGATATGAGTCCAGCGCGTCGATGCGCACCTATAGGGTATACGCGTCACTATGACGTCACTCGGACGTCTGATGTGACACTGATGACGTCACTCGGACGTGTTATGTGACACTGATGACGTCAGCAAAAAACGTCACGCGATGACGTCACACGATGACGTCACGTGATGATGTCACGGAATGATGTCACGGGATGACGTCAGCAAAAAACGTCACTGATTCCCGTTTCCGAATCGGAATTCCGATTCGAGTCAAATGAGTCAATTTGACTCAATGGACTCAACGTGTCAGCGAGTCTTCTTCGATCGATCGAAAACGAAAGAAGAAGAAGAAAAGACCGACAATGGTGCTTTTCAAGCCGTTCGATGGTAACACCTGAGGCTTTTCTTTGTTATTCGAGGTTGGTAGCCTGTTCAGCACACTCCTGCAGTCGGAATGATACCCTTGGCTTACCTGTAGACGGTCGGAAAGGCTTCGAACGACCGGAGTCGTTATCGTCGCCGTATGTCACTGTTGTCTACCTCGTTCGATCGCTTCTTGAGCGTCGTTCGACTTGTTCCTTCGCTCCTCAAGAGCACCTGAAGGTCTGTAATGTAACTGGTAATAGCTGTGTAAACAGCCTTTTCTTTTTACATGTTGGTTAAACACTAGAGAGACTGTAGGCCATGGTGGAGCTTATTTTAAAAGTCAGTCTAAAAAGAAAAGTGAGGAATCGCTTTTGGTGGTCCAGTCGATTTCGAATTTCAGTCCCGGATACTCATGACTCAACACTCTGTCCGCTGTAGCCAAGAACCACCACAATGAACAAAACGAGCGCACTATCTCGAGCACTAGTGAGGCCAACAAAACTGGGCTCGTCGACAATGATGTAGTTCAGGTTGATACGGTACAAAATGATGGCAATCATGGAATGTTGCCTTTGCCTCCAACCGAACTGAGTACTGCCAACAGAAGACCCCAAGCACGACCAGGAGCCTATGCAAGTGGAAATTCTCAAGCACTAGAGGAAAATTTGGAAACAGCAGAGACAAACATTGGACCAGCGACTACTCCTACTCGACCACATACGGTCGAACCAGAAAATAGTGGCTTGGCCGTGGCCAATTTGGTAGTGGCAGATGAAACAACCCCTCAAGATCTGCCCCATGCGCAAGATTATAATCCGGACAACATCAACAACAACAGAGAAGAAAGGATGAAGCAATTCAAAACTAAGGTCCTCTTGGGAGTCATTGTCTTCTTGGCCATCACGATTATTTTGGTAGCCATTTTGACACCTGGAAAGAAACGGGATAATCTTGTCCCAACAGCCGTGCCTAGTGAGGTGCCCAGCAGCAACCCATCCCAGGGGCCATCATCCTACTCAGAATACTGGCTGTCACTTTTCCCTGAACCAACAGTCTCTGCAATTCTGGAGGACCCAGAATCGCCTCAGTTGAGGGCTTCGAGTGGCTCTTGGAAGAGAATGACATCCTACACAACCTTACAGAACAAAGAGTTGTACAACGTTTTGTACTTGCAGTGTTCTATTTTGCCAACAGCAAAGAACAATGGCTTTTCGTTGGCTCAACCACAGTGTTCATGAGTGCCTTTGGTATTCAAGTTTGGAGGATTACTATTTCTTTGCTGGGGCCAATATAGATTTGCCATTGGATCACATCAGTCCCTGTGAGAAAGATCCAGGTGGATATCTAGAGGATGGTGTACTCTACCAGAGAGACGGAATCCTGAAGCATTTTTGGCTGTCCAATAATCGTCTGTCAGGATCAGGTATTCCACCAGAGCTCTACTTGCTCACATACCTCAAGAGCTTGTCATTGGATGGATTCAATCTTACCATCACCATCCCAGAAGATCTCTCTAGCCTTCCCAGTTTGCAGTATATTTCCATGGTCAGCTGTGGCCTTTAGGGCATTCTCTAGTAGATTCGTTCGTCCTAAAACTCGTTCTAAGTTTATTTTAGAACAAAAATTTAGGACAAAAGCAATCTTTAACTCAAAATCGTCCTAAAATTCGTTCTATTTTTAGGACGAATTTTTCTTCTCCGTCCTATTCCTGAGAAATAGGACGAATTATTTCGGCTGGTCCTAACACTCGTCCTATTGTTTTCTCTAAATCTTTGAGTCATATGACGTTGAATGACATCATCCACCATCAAGTTAACACGATTGACTGAACCACTCGACAATCCCTCTGTTAACTCGCTACTACGGGTAGCCACCGTACGGTAGGAGTAGCTAACTAGTAGATAACAAACTCAAACAGAAATTAGTATTGTACTGCACCACAGACCACAGAGGTGCTTCGTGGGAAGCTCCTAGCCACACTATCAGGACCATGTTAACAGGCTGACAGAGGAGAGGTGCATGCGGGACGAATTTTAAGACCAGCTTTTTAGAGACTGAACTCGTCCGTCCTAAAACTCGTTCTATCTTAAGTCTGGTTTATGGCTCCATTCCTGAGGCATTAGGACGATTGTCAAAACTTGCTGGCATGTACTTTGCCTTCAACTCCCTGACAGGAAGTGTAAGTGCCCATTGTGTATCTGAGCAGAGCTTGCTGAGATATCTCACCTTGTCATTTATTATTATCTTTTCCAGATTCCATCATCGCTGTATTCCCTTACAAACTCATTGAAAGTCATCCTTTTACCAGAAAATCAGCTGACAGGACCAGTAGGTGCAAGATATATTTCTCTCTTTGAATATACAGTGTTGGAGTTTCTCACTGACTGTTTTTGATATTGCAGGTACCAACAGAACTGGGATTGCTAACTAATTTGCTGGGTCTATCACTGGACACCAACCTTTTCACTGGGACAATTCCCACAGAACTTGGACAAATAAGTGGGTTAAAGGCTCTGTCCCTGTATGACCTGAATCTGAGTGGCTCTGTAAGTTTTCACAATTGCATTGGTTGATTCGATTCTCCTTGTTTGCGATCGATCTAGAGACCTCACCTGCAGCACATTCATGTAGATCCCAAATGAGCTTGCAGTTCTTTCTTCCATGAGATATCTGCTACTGGATTACTAGGGTCTTACGGGGACAATCCCTACTAGATGGCTTGGCAACATGACATCCATGGAGTCATTGACACTGCCGGGGAACTTCTTTACTGGGACTGTAAGTCTATTTAGTGCCCAGTCAGTCCTGTAAAAAGAGCTTCTTCTGCTAACATGGAAGTCCATGGTTTCTTCTTTTCCTCTACTAGATCCCAACAGAACTTGGCCTTCTAACAACGTTGTTTGCCTTGTGGCTTGATTCTAACGCTTTGTCGGGCACAATCCCAAGTGAATTTGGATTGTGCGAGCAAGTGCGTGTCTTGACCTTGCGTCGCAATAACCTGGCAGGGACCATTCCCACAGAGGTCGGACAGCTTACCCACGGTTTGTTTCAGTTATGGCTACATGACAATGATTTGACCGGAACAGTGCCATTGGAGCTTGGCAATGTCCCTTTCCCTGCACCTTTTGGTGAAGTCTGGTTGCATAGAAATGATCTTTCTGGCATTATCCCTGAGAGCTTGTGCTCTGCCAACAACCTTTATTTTGACTGCAGCAGCCAGCTCTGTGGATGTGACTTGTGTAACTGTTGTTCTGACAATAATAGAACATCACCGATACTACTGGAGGGAGAAAACATTGTTGTCTATGGAGATGGTGATCTGCTGCTGCTGCTGCTGAGTGATGGTCAGCTGCTGCTGCTGAGTGATGCAAACCAAACTGAGGGGAACCAAACTGGACCCTGAACGGATTGACTGCATGGATGGTTGCGTTGTTCATCATGACATTGTACTACATCTTTGCATAAGTTAGCTAATATTTATTGAATCCACAGCGATGGTGTGCTTCAAGCAGAGCCCTACTAATTGTTTTTACCACTCAAGCAAGCTCTGACGGCAAAGCTTTTGATTGCTTAGACTTGCCTCCATGATTGAATTTCCAGGATTGCGGAATGTGGTGGCTTCAGAGATAGAAAAGGAAAGCCTCACCCGCCAGACTTGCGCCCCCTTTGCTCCCGTCAAGGACTTGTCTACGTTGGTATACTAGAAAGCTACACACAAACACAAGCACAAGCACGGGAGGTCCTGTCATCTACAGTATCTTGTGATACCTTGGATCTATCCTTTCTATCATCTCCAGTCTAGATCTGGTAGCTACCGGTAGCTAGCTATAGTAGTAGCTGAGGATCGACGGATAGAACCTCCATCTAGTAGACTAGCTAGACCAGTAGCCAAACTCCCATGGACCGCCGCGGCAAGTAGCCACCAGTTCCCAGCCAAACATGCAGTCATGGTGACCACTTGGGTGGAGATCGATCTTATTGCGAACTACTCAGTGCCGGTGGCCAAATAAATGAGAACATGTTCATCTGCTTCAGTGTTCTTTGGGGCCTCCTTGATTCCTTCTCATTGGTGGAACGAATAAGCCTTTATTACACTTGAACCCTGATTTCCAGCGAACGAACTCCAGTGATTTAATGCAGAATCGGAGCAGAACTCTCATTTCTGCGTTATGGTACCGATGACCATGACCTTCCGGTAGAACCTCAGTACCAATGACCTGATTTTGGCAACCTCCACATCGAGAAAAGAAGCATCAAAAACATTCTTTTTCGTCAATCAACGGTCTCCACTTTACTTCTACTCCACATATACTTCAACTCCTACCTACTGCCTACAACCATCAATCTATTTGTTACTCATTTGTTCAGTTGTGTGTTTCTATTTGTTTGTCTGCATGCCATGACGACTCTTCGAATGATGGATGTCCGCAGCAATAGCAACACTCCGCAAGCGCAAGTGCACACTCCCCTGTTGTTGTCGTCGTCAAAACCAAAACGGCACAACTCTCCCACTCCGCCATCTCGGCAAGGCAGTATGAAACGGATTCGTCGACGTACCAAACGCAACGACAGTGGACTGAGCATGCGTCGTTCGATTAGTCATCCACCGTCCCGTCGCGAATCGTTCATTCCCAAAGTCAAGAAAGCATTGCAGCCATTGTTGGGTGGTAGTAGCAAAACAAAAGACAGAAACAAGAATACTACTGCTACTACTGGTAGTGCTAGTGCCAGTAGTAGTAGTAGCAACAGTGACAGCGACATTGACAACAGCACTACCGACTTGGAAGCGGGATGTCCCACATCCGAAGGTCCTCGTTGTGCTTCCTTATTGCACAAGAAGAATGACGATCATCCCGCACAATTCACAACGACAAGACGATCTACCAATACTACAACCAAATGCCCCACCAATTGCTATTATTGGGCGGCCGATCCATGGCTCCGCTGCCGTCATGATTGGACCGAATTTTGGCACGTCCTTCCACTCATGGTCAAAGTTTCTGTAGGAGTCCACTTCTTGACGTGTCTCTATTGTGTCACCAGTTTGTATCACTATCAAACGTCCTTGATTGGCAGTCTGGGAGCACTCTTTGTCACGACTCTCGTGGCAAGCGCCTTGGTAACGTCCTCTCTCGTCGCTGCTGCTGCCTTTCGCACGGCCCATTTGGAATGGATGGAAATGATGGATCAACAAATCAAAAGTCGTGCCATTTTAACGTCCCTCTATCCGACACGAGTTCTGGAACAAATGTATCTCGACATTACACCGGAACAATTGGCACTGGCACAAGAACAAATCCAATCCCATCTCGATCAAACATTGGCCACATCCTCTTCTTCTTCCTTACTGCATCATGCGACTGGCGATGATCCAACTGGCCAACAGAGTCAACGAGAAATGAGCGACGAATCGATCATGTTTCATCAAGAACAAGAGCAAGAAAAACTACTACAAGAACGACAATTTAGAAAGGAGTCCTTTCACAATTCCGTCAATAGTCTCGTGGACAATGTGCACGACAGCAGTCGCTCTCTACTATCGTTGGACAGAAACACGAATACGACTACTAATAATTGGGGAGACACGACACTCCATACGAGCAACAACAACAACAATAACAATCATCTGAGTAGTAGGAGTGGACGATCCACTCCGGCACATTCCGACGATGAAGATGACGACGGTGACGACGAACCCGTCAATTCTGTTAAGAAAACCACAGTGGATCGCACCAGTTTGGGTTATGGTGATGACGAACCACCCAAACTCATGGCGCCGCCACTGGCTGCTCGTCCTCCTCCTTCTCCTCGTCATCATCACACGGACACGTGTCCAACCACAAGCACCACCACCAGTACCAATACAGAAATGATTTGCATTCGGCGCAATTCGCTGACACTTCGTCGCAAAAGCATGACACGACGGGCTACCATGGGGATCCAACCACGCCGAACGTCGAGTAGTTTTCGACGACGATCGTCCGTGGGATCTACTAAAAGTGTCAGTTCGAATGCATCGTCGGCTACTACGGGACGACCCATTCAAGAACGATTCGATCCAACGACGGTACTCTTTGCCGATATTGCTGGATTTACACAATGGTGTTCGGAACGAGAACCGTGTCATGTCTTTACATTGCTCGAAGCGGTCTTTTTTGTGTTCGATAATCTGGCCAAACAATTGTCCGTGTACAAAATTGAAACGGTGCGTAACTGTTGTGGAGCGAGAAATAATGGCCAGACAAGAAAAAGTAAACGAGGATAGATGAATGTCACTGAAGCCTCACAATCCCCGTTGTCTCTCTCACTCTCTGTCTTGTTTATGCGGATGCATACAGATTGGTGGTACGTCCGTCCCAAAACAAACAACTTTGAATCCACAAGAAAAATATTGAGTCCCTCACTCTTTTCTCGTTTTGTTGTGTACGGTATAGATTGCTACGTGGCCGTTACCGGAATTCCCGATTTGCTCGACGATCATTGTGTCGCCATGGCGCTCTTTGCCTCGCAAATCATTTTGGAATTTGATCAAGTTGTTGAGGGATTGGCAACCGAGGATGGGTTGGGGTTGGATACGGCGCTGCTAAGGTTGCGGGTGGGATGTCACAGTGGGCCCGTCACGGCAGGAGTGCTCCGAGGTGATAAAGGACGGTTTCAGGTGTGTTTTGTTAGTTGGATGTTGTTGTTGTTGGTATATACATGGCTTCTGCAGGTTTTTCTTACGTCTCGTTGTGTTTTTTGTTTTGACATGACAGCTCTTTGGAGATACAGGTGCGTATACACGATCCCCCTGTTTCGTTGCGATTTCGAGAGACCAATAAATTGTGTGTATGTGTGATCGATCTCATGTCGTGTCGTTCGTTCATGTCGGCCAATCCAATCTTGCAGTCAACACGGCAGCCCGTATGGAATCGAACGGACAACCAGGAAGGGTTCAGATCAGTGCACAAATGGCCCATGTACTGGCACTCGACGGAAAATCGCATTGGTACACGCCCCGACCCGACAAAATCACAGCCAAAGGGAAAGGAGAGTTGCAAACGTACTGGTTGCAAGATGATCTCATGGGACAGTACAAACGAGACCGTGAAAACAAAGTTCAGCTACAAAGGTCACTCTGGACCAACTTGGAAGATGTCACCAATCTGCAACAGCAACAGCTGATCGACTGGAACATTCAACAACTGGAAATCTTAGTCAAGAAGATTGTGGCCATCAATACGGCACACCAAATGGATGCTTCGCGCGACGATCAAATGGACGATTGGGGTGGTCCTCTCCATTACGAAGAACCGGATGGAACCATACTCGATGAACTCAAAATGACAACCAACAACAGCGGCAATCTGATACCGATCAGCAAAAACACCAATGTGAACTACGAATCGGTCGTCTTGTCTCCCAAGGTCGCGACCGAACTTCGCGACTTTGTCAAAGCCATTGCCGCAAACTTCCAAAACAACCCCTTCCATAACTTCCAGCATTCGTGTCACACGATTCGATCCATCCTTCAGGTAATGACAGAGCTCGAAAAGAGCAGCAGCAGTGCCAGCAACAACAACAACAGCGGCAGCAACAACACAGGTGGGAAACCTGCCACTGTCCTGTCACGAGATCCGTTGGCGCAATTCGTCCTTGTGTTAACGTGCATGGTGCAAGACGTGGACAATCCCGGTGTTACCAACGAACAGTTGATGAAAGAAGATTCCGACATGGCCGAGTACTTCAACAATACATGTCTTCAACAACAAAATGCGTTGGACGTGGCTTGGGAGCTCCTGGTGGGCGAAACTTGCGAAAACTTGCTCCTTGCAATCTGCTCGCATTCCGCCATGGAATTGGATCGGTTTCGCAAGTACATGGTCCATGCAATGATGGCGACCGATCTCGAAGATCGCGACCTGATGCTTGCCCGATACAAACGCTGGAATGAAGTTAGCAACCCGCACCACAGCACGAATCGACGAAACAGCCTTTCATCCTCTCCTCCAACATGGCTGCAGAGCATTGTGTGCATCGAACAAGCGATGCAATTGGCCAAGCAAATTCATGCCGTACAAACTCCCGTCTTTTTCTCGCAGTGGAGCGACCGATGCTTTCGAGAACAATACCTGGCGTACATCAAGGGTCGTCGGGAGCAGGATCCATGTCAGCACTACTACGAAGATCAGTTGCGTTCCTTTCGCAGGGCAATCGTGCCGCAGACGGAACGATACAATCGGAACTCTAGCAATGGTGGACGCACTCTGATGCTGTTGGGGACCTGCGATGAGCTAACCCGACAAGCTCGACAGAACTTGGAAGAATGGGAGCGCTCCGGGCAGATGCGAGTTCAAGAATTGGCTCGTGCGGCCAAGTACGAATTCGGCGAGAAACAAACGTCCTCTTGAGGATGAGATGAGCTGTGCTTGTCTCAGCGCGTGGCAGTGGCAGCCTCCCTGTCACCAAGCACCACAAGAAAAAAATTAGCTTCCACTAGCTATCATTCATGCATTCATGAAGAACTTGTAAACTACAGTGTGAGCACTAAGTGCACTAAGTTCCATTCCTTTTCCTTTTCTATTACCGTACAATGAGTCATTGCTTGGCAGAGAGTTCGGGTAGTATGCAAGGTGCAAGGTTGGCGACCCTTCCTCATTTGAAGCGTTTGGGTTGGTTGTTGTGGAAGCTGTGGTTTGCTCTGGAATTTGAGGCATCGTTGGGAGTGGCACCAACTTGGTTGGCCTTCATTGCAGTACAATCAGTTCTTTCTCTCTATGGTGGCAAAGAGAGTGTTTTGCTTTTTGTCGAGCAGCCGCACGCAAAAGAGGACAACGATCCTGATCCCTATCCTTCCTCGCAAACCTGAACCCTCATGGGTTCTTCGACGAGTGACTCGACTCACAGTTGCCAAACTGTACCATCTCACAAACCACAAAATCGCATTCCCACACTTCGCTCCTACACTCAAGTACATCTCTACATCTCTCAGTCATCACCTGCGTTCCTAAAATGGATACCCCACATACATGTCGCTATTGCCTCCTTCGCAGATCGGCTCTAAGGCAATAGCACCCCTCGAGACCGCTCACAGATGCAAACTTGAATGAACAAAACATGAAGACCGGTCCAACTCTCTCTTCAGCCATTGAACAGTCGATCGCCAAGAAGGTTGTCTCCTTCTCTCTCACAATTCTTCCTTCAGCCGAGCTGCAAGCAAGAAATAGAATAGATTAAACTCTTGCGTCGGCATCAGGGTCTAAATCCTTTCGAAATCTTCGACCATGGCCAACGCTTATTCTCTACTCTCGTTGACAGCGGAAATCC